AAGTTTTTAGGTGGAAAGCATGTCTTGGACTTGAAGGATGGAGTGTGTAGAATGATGGCTTCTAAACATGAAGACTCACCATGGACTTTCGGGTGACCACACGTGTATATGCCCCAAAGGGTGAAGACTGCCATGGCAGGAGCCTCAAGGTCTGCATCGCTGCAGACCAGTGCTTGGGAGGCGAGCTGCAGACCAGTGCTTGGGAGGCGAGGGGGATGAGGAATGATGGCTGATCATTCTAAAACTGATCGTGGCGATGGCTGCACCACTCTGAATATACCAAAAACCATTGAATTGGGCACTTTCAAGGGGTGAAATGTATCATATATGAATTTCATTTCAATAAAGCTGTTATTATACAAACTCAGAGGGTGGGGATTAAGAGACTGAGATGACAAAGGAGCAAGAAGCATTCCGAAGTGTTGTCTGGAGGTTACAAGGCACCAGCCTATTTGGCGTTGAGAGGAAAAGCTGGTATTTTTAGATGGTGAATGAACCTAGCACTAGCCAGAAGCTGTGAACCCTGGGGACAGACCCTGACATTCCCAGGGATCTTGGACATTTCGCATGACTGCTGTTCCTCAAACACATTGTACATGTGCGGCTCACTCGTACCCGCTTTCCTTTCACTTAAGTCACAACCTGAACTCTGCTAATCACAAGGCTTTTAAAAAGAGAAAAAAGTTCCTAGGCAAGAGGAAAACAAATGCTCCTTAATAGAAAGGCACATCAGGGCTTGCATTCAGACTGACCTCAGAGGCAGATGAGAAGGATCCAGAGGCCTACTCTTCCCCAGAGCCTCAGTGGACAAGACAGCAGACTCCACGTTCAAGGGTGGCTACCACAGATGCTAAGTAGACAGTGAGAAATCCCTTCCTAAAGGCAGCTGCCCTCAACCATCACCTCTTGCTGCTTCTGGTGGAATTCCTTGCAAAACAAGCTGGAGGGCAAGGCCATAGGAAGTTTTCAAATCCTGGAACTGCTGCCAGAGCCAACTCAGCACATTGACAGCCCCCCAAAACCAGGTAATATCGTATCACCAAGCGACATATCTCATTCAATCCTCCCAACAAGGCCCACCAAGACATCCCCCAGAAATCCCATCTTTGGCCTGCCCAAATCCACCCTGTGAATCCTTCTGTTGTATTAGTCAATCAGTTTAACGACTACAGAAGACAGGATATTCTTTTAAAAAACTAGCCATTGCAGAAGAGGGGGCACCTGAAAGAGAGGAAAACATCCTTTAATATTGGAGACGAAGAAGGGTTAGAAATGATAGACTTTGAGTAGTTGTTTCACCAGGCTCAGCACATCAGAAGAGAAACTGGTGATGGTCAGAAAGACTTTCAGCAGTTTGTCCTGAAGGTCCTGCTAAGTCCAAGTCCTACACTGCCATCAGTAAACAAAGCCAGGAGCCTCAAACCACATACAACTGTGTAGGAAGCTGGAGGTCCTTCCCACTGCCAAAGGGCCTCTAGAAGTCAATATGCACATGCAAACTCAGTCTGTTCTTCTTTCCAAGCAGCTTTGAGATTAAAATGTTCAAGAATTATTTTAAAGGCAACTTTGAAACAGGATGAAGAACTCTTGTTTTCTTGGGGACATAACTCTCAGCCTTTGCTTCTTGGCCCCACCCTACTTTGAACCTCTGGAAGAGGTTCTCCTGCTTCAGGGCACAGGATGGAAGACATGCAGGTTGAAGGACAGGAGGGAATGCCACCTTACCTCAAAGTAATTCCCTCCTTCCTAGGGAACAGTGGGCAAATGAGTTCAACTCAGTAAGACGATCATTTACCTGCAGAATGCACTGGAAAACTGAGCAGGCCTTAGAAAACATGCTTTGCAGTTCCATTATCTCAAACTTCTCCCTACCAATACACTTCTTTAATCCAACTCATCAGTATTATAGCTGCTCCAGCATAATGCAATTGGGAAACACTGACTACAGACCTGTGCACAAAAACTCTGAGGAAGGCTGCGAGGTAGCACTGAGGGAGGCACCTAGAACCTGGACCCAGGCTGTGCCCTCAAGCTAATGCTCCAATAGAGGAGGTGCACGCAGCTTATAATGGCTAACTAGCTGGAACACTCAACTGTGTGACAGGCACTGCTTTACAGATATCAATTCCTTCATCTTCAAGATATATCTCCCGGTGTTGTTCCTAAGTCCAATTTAAAGGTGAGAAAACTGAAGCTCAGAGATGTCAAATAACTTCCCCAAAGTGACACAGTAAGAAGGGGAGAGCTCACATTCATATTCAGGCAGTATGGACCTCAACCTATTCAGCTTTAGTGACAGCGACAGCCATCAGCACAGAGTCTGGCATTGAGCACCTGATGAGCATGTACCTAGAAGCACTGGAAGGTTAATGTAACATGGGCAGAATAAGAAGAGTGCTTTGCTGGAGGTACTGCAGGAACAGACAGGAAGAAGTGCATGAATTCTGACAGAGAGCCTAGAGGAAGTGAGTCCCTGAAGGGAAAAAGGGAGGAGGGGGCATTTCAGGCTGAGGGGGACACAGGACCTGTGTGATAATGATGCAGTCTGACGTGACAGTTGAGATCTGGTGACTCTACATGCTGGCTAAAGGCATGTAAGCAGAGCAAAATAATAGGCATTTGTGCATTTGTTATATTGTACATGCAACACAAGGACTAATAGAACAGTACATTTGGTAATTTCCATCCCTGGGGTAATTAAAAGGAAAGAAAGAAGGCATCTCTTGTGGGTAATGGGAACATGTACAGGATTTCAATATCAGAAGAACTTGTTGCTAGAGGAAACCACCAGAGGCATTCCCTTTCCCTCTTCTGCAACAGCTCCCACGAAAACCACTGGCCAATTCATATTCCCCAACTGTGCCAATTCCCCAACTGTGCATATTTCCCAACAATGAAAATGTTGGAGAGCCTAAACATCTCGGGCCTTTCTGTCTTTTGCAGCCTGCACAGCACTCAGCGTAAGCTTATGAACAACAGCTGACCTTCTAGAATTGCAGTCCCCAACCCCCAGGCCACAGGCTGTACCAATCAGTAGCCTGCTAGGAAATGGGCCGCCCACCATGGCCTGAGCTCTGCACCACACTCCCTCCCCCCACGACACCCGCCCCCAGTCCATGGAAAGATTGTCTTCCATGAAACCAGTCCCTGGTGCCAAAACGTTGGGGACTGCTGCTCTAGAAAAGCAGGTTAATTCTCTAGAAATACATCCAAAATGATAAAGCCTTGGATGACCAAGAATGATCAGCATCCAGGACAGATTATGATAAAACCTCAAGAACCATGATTTTTCTGAGGATGACATTATTTATGTAAATTAGGCACCTAAATTGAACGCTCCAATTTCACTATACCAACCTTAATGCACATAGAAGTTTAATGCTTTAAACCTTCACACAACATGTCTTTCCATATTTCCAATTTCAAATATAGAAAAATAGTTTTAACCTAATTCATTAAATGATTCTACAATAGTTTCCCAACAGAACTTAATAAGAATCGCCCCCATTAAGTTCCTTCAAACACATTAAAATCCCAGATAAACTGAAGATCCAACCATACAGCCCCTCCCCACCTCTCAGTACAAAAAAAAAAATATCTAAATAACCTGTCATTAAAATTCTCAACCAAATAAAAATGCAAACTTAACCTCCCCTTTCCAATATTTTATTCTACAAGCTCCCCTTTGCCAGGGAGAGCTGGTTGTGCTGGGTGGGTTCTGGGTTCTTCCCTAGCAGATGCAGCGTGAATTTCTCAAGCAAAAAGGATGAAAACAGAAGTGCGCATTCAAAAAGGTAGCTATATCACTACCCTGTGATATTTATTAAATTCTGCCTCTAACAAAAAGCATAATGGAAAACACAAACTGGAAACGATTTAAGCCATCCCTTCCTGCTATGAATGATGCAATTGAAGGTGCAATCAGGAAATTGTTTCCCCAATAAAAAGCATGTTTTAAGTGACTAAAAAACATTTCCCTTGATTTCTTTCCTTTTCTTGCTCCACCTTCCACCATAGTGAAGAAATACTCGATATCTTCACTATCTAATAATTCATCGAATCACATACTTAAGATTTGTGTGTTTTTTATGCATCTTAGACTGCAGCAAAAAAAAAATGTTTTAAAAATAGCTTGCATTATTAACGAAAAAAAAAGGTGTTGCTAGGAAAAACAGCATGAAATCGGTTTCAACGTTGCTTACACCCCCGCATTACCTGCAACCACTTTACAGAACGTTAGCACTAGAAGATGCAAGACCTTGTCTAAAATCCTGCGAATGTCCTCACAATCTCCCGTTTCTAGGCAGCCAGTACAGGGACCAGCCCTCCATGGCTCCCGGCAACTGCAGCCTGGCAGGCTTGGAGACTCCTTTGCCGCGCTGCCATGTGAGGGGGCCAGGCCAGACACTTGGGCAGCGTACCCAAGACCTCAAGGAGCCCATACGGGCGGCAGGAGCGCCCGGCTGCCCAGGCGATGCGCCCTATGCCCCTGTCACTGGGTGACAAGCCAGTTTTGCTACCTGGGGATGTCAAGAAGTGCGAAGCTGGGCCACCTTCGCCACAGGCTACAGCTGCCTCTTGAGCGCGTTTCCCAAGACGCAGAGAGGGCGTGCGCAGAGGCCAGGGAGATCCCCAGGAGCAGGCTTGGTCCACCCCAGTGTCCCCCACGCCGGCTGCTCTTCGAGTACAGGGACCGGACCTCCAGACCCCCCTCAGGCACTTCCATTCCAAACACACTTGTCACCCACCCTAAGCCACCCCAGGCGCACCTACTCACCCAGATCACCCCGGGAAGGGACCCCACCACCGGCACGGCTAGGGGCGCGGTCCCCGGATCCCGCACCCAGTTGGCCCGGGGTGGGGTTAAAGGCATTTATCCAAGCTCTGCGTCGCTCCCCCGCCCCCGCTCCCAACGCTGGAGGACCACTGCCCTTCGCGGCCCGCCCCGCCCCCCGGGGGGCCGAAACCCTGACGCACCCGCTGCGCTCTGGGGTCCCTACCTGGAGACCGGTGGTTGGGTGGCGAGGTCCGCACCGCGCCCGGTTCGGCCATCTTCCCAGGAAGAGGGGTGCCCCGCGCAGCCCCCTCCGCCCGGGATCCCGCCCCGAAGCCGCCGCTGCGCTCCATCGGGATGCGCCGGCCGCACAGGCGCACTGCCTGGCCCGCGGCGCAGCACCGGGACCCGCGCGCGCCCGCATGCGCACGCGTCCTCACGCAGCGCGCGCAGACCGTGCACGTGCGATGTGCGCTCCGGTTCCCACGCAGCGCGCGTACACTGTGCACTTGCGGTGTGCGCACGGGCTCTCACGCAGTGCGCGCACATAACGTGCCCATGCAATGTGCACTACCGTCCTCCCTGCGCGCGCACGGGCACGCGTCCTTACACACTGCGGTACATACGCAGCGCACACACACAAGGCATGCGCACACATACAGCGTGCACACAGTTCTTCATACAATGCTTACACGCAGCATGCACACAACAAGCACACCTGGCGTAAACGCACCTCCCCACACAGTGCGCGCACACACCCAGAGCGTGTATAGATGTAGGGTGCAGTTTCTCACACAGCGTGCACACACATCCTCACACAATGTGTGAACACAGTTTACACCACGTGCACACACGTCCTCACACGGATGGCACACTGGGCGTCCATACGCACTCCGCGCTGCAGCCTTGGAAACAGTTCCTGGCTAGGACTTCGGCTGGGCGACATTTGGGCCAGTGCCAGACGCTGGAGGAGCCTTTTCTCAAGCACGGTTAGGTTCCAGTTCTCAAGGTGCACGAGTGGCCTGCGCTTAGTAACCACTCTCCGCCCACCTCACCCCAGGCAGGCTTGGGGTCACCCAGGGTGGGACTCTAGCAGGCCATCCAGGTCCATCTTCAAGGAAAGGCAGGGGCAAGCTGTAGGCTGTCCTTGGCTTCCAACCACACCCCACTCCCTAGCCAATTCCTCTTCTCCTCCAGGGTAAATAATGTGCACTTCAGAAATCTCTGCGATGAGGACCTCTCTGAGAAGAAACAAGAAACTGCTATAAACATGTTGCCTAGGGAGGGAGTAGGGGTCAGGGAAGGGTGTGTATGTTGGAGGGTGGTGGATTCTTTCCACTGGACATCCTTTTATGTCTGCCATATGCATGTATTATCTTTTCAAAAATACTGAAAAAGACATCTTTGCACGGCCTGCTAAAGCCTCCAGGTGTTTACCCAGGCTTAGCCTGCCAAGTGATAGCCCATCCCGGTCTAGCCCCAGGCTGCACGTTTTTCTCTTGGACGGTGACTAGCCTGGAGGTTTTATTCCTACCCTCGGTGAAAGAGGAATGCTCGATTAAAAATGGGCCGGGCGCGGTGGCTCACGCCTGTAATCCTAGCACTCTGGGAGGCCGAGGTAGGCGGATTGCTCCAGATCAGGAGTTCGAAACCAGCCTGAGCAAGAGCGAGACCCGTCTCTATTATAAATAGAAAGAAATTAATTGGCCAACTAATATATATAGAAAAAAAATTAGCCGGGCATGGTGGCTCATGCCTGTAGTCCCAGCTACTTGGGAGACTGAGGCAGTGGGATTGCTTGAGCCCAGGAGTCTGAGGTTGCTGTGAGCTAGGCTGACGCCACGGCACTCACTCTAGCCTGGGCAACAAAGCGAGACTCTGTCTCAAAAAAAAAAAAAAATGAAGCTGAAGAATGGTACAAGTTTTCTTTCTGGGATGAAAATGTTCTAGAATTAAGTATATTGTGGTGATGGTTGCATAACTCTAAGTATACTAAAAATCACTGAATTGTACATTTTCTTTTCTTTTATTTTTGAGTCAAAGTCTCACTTTGTTGCCCCAGTTAGAGTGCCATAGTGTTAGCCTAGCTCACAGCAACCTCAAACTCCTGGGCTCAAGCAATCCTCCTGCCTCAGCCTCCCAAGTATCTGGGACTACAGGCATGCGCCACCATGCCCAGCTAATTTTTTTTCTATATATTTTTATTTTTTAGTTGGCCAATTAATTTCTTTCTATTTTTAGTAGAGACGGGGTCTTGCTCTTGCTTCAGGCTGGTTTCGAACTCCTGACCTCAAGCAATCCTCCCACCTCGGCCTCCCAGAGTGCTAGGATTACAGGTGTGAGCCACCACACCCGGCCTGAATTGTACATTTTAAATGGGTGAATTTTATGTTCTGTAAATTATATCTAAAAAAAGAAAGCAAAAAAAAAAAAAAAAAAAAAAGCTAAAGCCCTCAGGAACCAGCATTCAGACTCTTGGCAGAAAGCTTTGAAACAGTCCCGTTGTGGAACAAAAATGTTTCTGTGATGAACGTGTTCCCTGATGTGTCCAAAGGTGTGCCAGGAGTAGGATGCCAGAAAGGGAGTTTAGATGCAAACAAGCAGCAAAGTGGGCACGTTGGGGCTGGTGCCCTGAGCTGTAATGAAAGCTGCTTCTAGCCCATTGACATAGAGCCAAGTTAATAAGAGCATGGGGGTTCTCACTCCCCCCACTTTCTCTTAGGGCCCTTCGGTGTGAGTTTAATTCATCCAACTCTTGAGCCCATGGCCTGCTGAAGACATCTGTGTGTAGTAGCATCCCTTGTACTTCTATTCTTTCTCCTTTTACTTTTCGTTCTCACTCCCATTCCTCCCTAGTCATAGACATTTCCTCTGACATTTTTTGTAGCTCTAATTTTGAAACATTGCAGTGTTGTGAAGATATGCGTGCATTTTAAATTTATATAAATATTGCACTATAGCTATCATTCTATTTGTTTTTCCTGGCTTGGAATTGTTTTCAAGATCTATGCATTGCGGCTGTATACAAATATATCAAAAATGATTAGCCATTCAATCTGGTTTACCCCTCTGTAAATTGCCTGTTCAGTCTTGTCCATCTTTCCATCGGGCTAATCTTGATTTCCAGAGTTTCTTGTATTGTAGGTAATTCAGTGGGGGTTTAAATGTTGCAAATATTTCACCCTAGTAAACTAAGCTTTTCTAAGATTAGCAAATTTAAAAAATTGACAAAATTTATTAATATTTTTACTCCATTTATCATTTGCCATCATCCATTCTCCCCCCATATATATATATATATATATATATATATATATATTTTTTTTTTTTTTTTTGAGGCAGAGTCTTGCTCTGTCACCCTGGCTAGCATGCAGTGGTGACCTCTGTCACCCTGGCTAGCATGCAGTGGTGACATCATAGCTCACTGCAACTTCTAATCCTGGGCTCAAGTGATCCTCCTGCTTCAGCCTCCTGAGTACAGGCCTGCAGCACCACTGCCTGGCTAATTTTTTCTATTTTTAGTAGAGATGGGTTCTTGCTCAGGCTGGTCTCGAACTCCTGACCTCAAGTAATCCTCCCACCTCAGTCTCCCAGAGTGCTAAGATTACAGGTGTGAACCAACGCCCCTGGCCCTGTATTTTTCTCTATATTTTTTATCCTCGAATGTTTGAGGATAAGCTGCATACGAATACTTCCACGTGTATGTCCTGAGATTCTGAATATTCTTTTACAAAACAACACTAGAGTTACCAACTTCAGTAAATTTTAAAAGGATACAATAATTTTATCTAATTGGCTGCCAGTTTCTCCACTGCAGAGGTTCTGATTGTCTCCTGCAATAAGCAATCTGTGTGGAGGCACTTTGAGGTCATACAGATAACCTACTCTTCTCATCAAAACTTCTATTTTTTTTTTCCATTGGTTCAGTGATTTTATTAGAAATCACCTGGGGAATACAAAGAAATTCAAATTCCTGGGCTCCAATCCAAACCTAGAGCATCAGAATCTCTTACTTTTTAAATGAGAATTTTATTTATTTATTTATTTTATTTTAGCGTATGATGGGGGTACAAGTGTTGAGGTTACGTATATTGCCCATGCCCCTCCCCCCTCGAGTCAGAGTCTCAAGCGTGACCATCCCCCAAGCATTGCACATCTCACTCATTGTGTTTGTATATACTCATCCCCTCCTTCCCCCTCCCACCTGCCCGACACCTGATAAATGTTATTCCTTTATGTCCACTGAGGTGTGTTGATCCGTTAATACCAATTTGCTGGTGAGTCCATGTGGTGCTTGTTTTTCCATTCTTGAGATACTTCACTTAGTAGTATGGGTTCCAGCTCTATCCATGAAAATACAAGAAGTGCTATATCACCATTGTTTCTTAAAGCTGAATAGTACGCCATGGTATACATATGCCACATTTTATTAATCCACTCATGAATTGATGGGCACTTGGGTTGTTTCCACAGCTTTGCAATTGTGAATTGTGCTGCTATAAACATTCTAGTGCAGGTGTCTTTTTCATAAAGTGACTTTTGATCTTTTAGGTAGATGCCCAGTAGTGGAATTGCTGGATCAAATGGTAGATCCACTTGTATCACTTTGAGGTATCTCCATATTGCTTTCCACAGAGGTTGAACTAGTTTGCAGTCCCACCAGCAGTGTAGGAGTGTTCCTCTCTCTCCGCATCCACGCCAGCATTTGTTGTTTGGGAACTTTTTGATAAAGGCCATTCTCACTGGAGTTAAGTGATATCTCAAACTTCTCTCTAGATTTAGCATTCATTGATGGTTGTTGCTTGACTCAATCTTTTTCATGATGGTTACAAAATAAGATTTATCGATTTTTCATCTTATAGTTTAAGAGGTCTTATTTACTATATGTTTCCCTAACCACATGCTACTCCACATTTTCCTCTATGCTTACAGACCTACCTTTACTCTTAAGCAATTTTCTTCTGTGTATGTTGTGAGTTAGGGATCCAAATTCACTTTTCTCTGCAAAGTGTAGTTTTCTCAGCACCATCTATTTATCCTTTCCCCAATGACTTTTTTTTTTTTTTTTTTTTGAGACAAGGTCTCACTCTGTTGCCCAGGTTAGAGTGCAGTGGCATGATAACTCACTATAGCCTCAAACTTCTGGGTTCAAGCCATCCTCCCACCTCAGCCTCCTGAGTAGCTGGAACTACAGGTGCTGCCACCAAGCCTGGATTAATTTTTTAAAAGTTTTGGTAGAAATGGGGTTTTGCTGTGTTGCTCAGGCTGGTCTCGACCTCTTGGCCTCAAATGATCCCCTCCTACCTCAGTCTCCCAAAGTGCTGGGATTACAGATGTGAGCCACTGCACCCAAACCCCAATGATTTTTGAAGCCACTTTCTAATTCCCACATGTATGTTGGCTTGATTATGAGCTCTCCGTTCTGAACATTTTGTCAGTCACTAGGTCTATTATTTATTACTATGACTTATGGTAAAACTTAATATCTGATGAAGTTCTCTTTGTACTTTGTTTTTAGAATTGCTTTAGAAATTCAAAATTTCCATAAATCTATTTTAGAATGTTTTTCTAGTCCCCCACCCCAAAGTCTGCTATTAATATTAATTGAAATTATATTGAAGTCTGATTAATTTGGAGGAGAAATATTTTTGCCAGACCATCCATTAATATAATTTTAATTTTACCCCTTTTAAAAAAATGGCATTCAATAGTTTGCTGGGCTTTCTTCCCAGGAAAAATCTATAGTTACAATTGAATACAGAATCTTAAACCCTATTATGCCATTTAGTTGATTGTTAGTCTAGCATATTTCTCAAATTTTCTGGTCTTAGAAACCCATAAAGCAAGGGTCAGCAAACTATAGCCCATGGGTCAAATAGAGTCCACTACCTACTTCTGTTAATAAAGTTTTATTGGAACATAGTCACACTCACTTCTGTGTTGCCTACAGCTGCTTTTGCACTACAATGGTAGGAGTAGTTGTAACAAGATCCAAAACTCTTAATTTTTACTTGAAAGTGCAAATGTAGCACTTTCAAGTATGTGCCAACAAATACTGTCAATTTTAATTAAAATGGCAAGCTCATCGTGAGTTACACCTATCAATATTGGCTTTATTAGAAAATTTAAAATTTTATTAATCCAATAAACCCAATGCATTAACATAACATACTTTTAATGAAAAGTAACCAAGACCCCCCAGCCCCCAAATTTGAGATGGCATTGTTCCACATTTTCGCAAATCTCATTATTGTCTGGCTTAACAGAAGACAGCCTCATATCTGTTTTTGTATTCATTGTGCTGTAATCTGTGGTTTTAGTTAAGTATACAAAGAAAATGTAGCCTCAGAGGTATGTAGCTGGAAAGGGAGCATTTTGAGTCTTTTCAGGTAACTGTGTATGTTCATCCAATCTGGACAAGTGGTAATCTCTTAAAAGTTAGTTGCACTATGGACTCTAATAAAATCAAATCAACAGACTTTTCATACTGTTACATTAAAATCCATTGGTCTGTTTTAAACTTTGAATGAACTTTGTAACTTCATACACTTGGAAAACATGGAAAATGTTGACAGAGCTAGGAAGATCTTCCATATGTTGACATATTTCTTTCTATAATATTAAAAAATTCATTAAAATCACTGATTTCTTCAGGAAAGTCTTTATTGTGAAGCTGTCAAGTTTATGATAGCAGATAGCAGTTTTCTAAAACTCTTTTTTGCTTGAAAGCACAAATTTTACCACTGGCAACAAATACTGTCAGTTATTTTCCTTGAAGTGACAGGCTCATTTCATTCATTTTTGCAAAAATGTTGAACACAGACCCAAGTTTGAAGAACCAGTTTGTCAGTTGTTCTTTAAAGTAAAAATGATGTTCAAAGAAAAACAGTACCCAGTTCATTTGCAACACAAATAATCACAAATGCTTTTCCTTGAGACAACTATTGTACTTATGCATGCATAAGTGCTTTATGTGGTACTTCCCACTTTGTCACATAAAATATTCTTTTTTTTTTAACACACCTTCCATGAGTTCTAATGTTCAATGTCACATAAAATATTAAAAAGATGTGGACTTAAAGGTTGGGATGCCCCCAATATGTGAGATTAATCTCATTAGATTAGTAAATTTTACTGTATCGTCAGGGAATTTTTTTTTTTTTTTTTAAGAAGATAGGGTCTCACTGTTGCCCAGGCTGGAATGCAGTAGCTCTGTCGAAGCTCACTATAACCTTTAACTTCTGGGCTCAAGCAATCCTGTCTCAACCATCCAAATAGCTGGGACTACAGGTGCACACCACCATGCCCAGCTAATTAAAAAAGAAAAAAAAAATTAAGAGATGGAGTCTTGCTATGCTTTATTTACTTCACTTATAGGTCTTTGCATAGAACAAAGTGAGGTCTGTTGAATGGGATTTTGGCAATTTGAAGTTATTCTGGACAACAGATTCACCATTAGAAAATGTCTTCTTCAGCACAGGTTTGTGAAAAATCTACTCGCTGAGAAAACGCAACCCTATATTTGGAGTATGACTAAATGGATTCATTCAGATCAACCAACCAAAACCAGAAAAATAAACACTGGATAAAGTGTTAGAGTATATCCTTTCCTTACACATCAAAATTAAGTTTAAAAAGAATACAATTTTAAGAATCACCATGAATAAAAGTTTAAATAGTTAAGTGTTATAAACAGTTTGAAAAGAATCAATTGTATACACTGTTGAAAGTTGTTTGATATTTTATTTTCTAATTGAAGTAGTTTGTACCTTTACATCATTCCAAATGATGGTAAAGGAAACCTCCAGATCAGTCAGTACTAATTAACTGTCATGAATCTATAGTAAAAGGACTCACTGAAGACTTAAGAATGAAATATTATCAGAGCTATCAATAATTATAAACTTTCTCTAAAGAAATATAAAGCAGTTGGTATTTTGTAAAACATCTTCAAGCAACCTAGAGACTTCTATCTTATATTCATCCAGTCTTATATTGAATCAAATGAGGTTGCTAACAATTTAAATACTGTGTCAACATGAATATACAAATATATATTCTACATGTTCCTTCTATCCTAAGAATCAAAGACTGTACAAAAAAGAAATGGTAAATGGAGAATATAGAAGACATGCATCTTCTATCTTACACAGTCCTGGACATCAAGTGAAAAGAGGCAGACACTGCTCTAAGTGCATTATATTTATAAACGTCTAAATTATCAATCTTGCCAACAACTCTGTAAGATAGGTACCGTTCTCATCACCCTCATCTTACAAGTGAGGCCCCTGAAGCCTAGGCAAGCTGGAGAAGGTGCCTATGGTTACCTGCAGGTAGAGGGCAGAGTAGGGACTAGGGTACAGGTCATCTGAACCCAGGGCCCATGCTCTTGCCTCTCCAGCACACTGCCTGGTAAGTACCTTGAGCTGGGGGGTGGGGGGAGGGGAGGGAGGACAAAGTCCAATACGCTGTCCAAATTGCTCAGTTCATTCTATACCTGAGAATCTAGTGTCTTTTCACACTTGTAAGACTTAATTCAGATTTTGTTCTTTTCTGAATAGGAGGAAAATAAGCAAGGATTGAAAAAAATCGTGGTTTAAGGTAAACCAAAAACAAAAAGCAGTGTGCAAAGGTACACGAGAGTGCAAATAGTATAAATGAAACTTACCCTTACTAAGCAGGTTAAACACTTCATACCAATACAAATCCTTTTCATCTTTATGACAGTCAGGTAACATAAAGAAACCTCACTTTCAATCTGCTACTTAAACTGTCAAGCCACACACAGTAAACACTGGCTGTTGTTAAATCTGTACACAATACAAATAAAGTACAAATCTAGCTAGGTATTTCAAAGCATGCTTTTACCTATTTTATTACTCAGAGTTACTCTGAAGCAGACACAGTTTGTACTATTTGCACAGTTTGACAGCAGTTTGTACCTACTAAAGATGTTATTGAACATCATAACTTAATATTTACGTAGGGTAGATGAAATTAAGTTAAATTACAATTCACAACTTTTGTAAGTTTTGTAAGCAACTATTTACAGCCACGATTCCATAGATGTGGTAAGTAAACCAATGGCCATTCCTCAATGAAATACAAAAATTTCCATCATGCATAGTTTACAGGCTCCTGAAGACGTAGTCTCTTTAGAGGCTGGGTGTTTAAAAAATAACAGTCAAACAAATCTTGGCAAATTTTTTACACAAATGCTTGGTTTTTTAGACACCTTAATAATACAACATATTTATACTCTAACTGGAAGTGGAACAAACACTGCATGAAAAATGCAACCCCATCAAATTCACTAGTAATAACTATTACACTCTCTTAACAGTAAGAACCATTATTCTTGGATTTCAAACATTTTATTTTGTTTCTGGGCATAGCTCATAGCATCGTATTATAGGAACCAAAGTGTATAACCAAGAAAACAACAAAAAATTTAAAAATCAAAAATACCTTCTTCAAGACCACTTCCATTCCTTATTTGAAATATAATCAATGAAACTGCACAGTTTCCACATTAAATACAAATTAGTGAAACAATTCCTCCAAGTAGTGTTGTATATGAGCTACAACTTTACGCTATAATCATTATGATTTGAGATTTTTCCAGAAAGAACAGCACTAGATCAGGCTGTTACTATCTAGGCAAGGAAAAAACCTTGACTACCAGCAAATGCCTGAATTGGGGTCATAGTGGTAATTTTTAAAAACTTTTCAGACTAACCATATTTGTTAGAGGAGGTAAGCAGAAAAATATTTGAGTTGCACTATCCCTATCAGGAACTATATCACATATGGCAAGCTCAAACATTCTCAGTAAAATATCATAGAAGGATCCATCTATACTGTAAATTTATCAAAACACTTTATGTACAGAAGCCTAAATATCTCAGGAGGTTTAGATTACTGATGAAGACAATCATTAAGTCAATTCTTCAAGGCTGGTTTCTTAGGAGTATTAAAAACCGGCCTTTGGTCTCAGATGCATTCCACCAAGATAAGTATTCAGGGATGCCAGAGAGTAAGAAACCACCACCATAATTATGCACTCTTAATTTCTATTCTTCAACTTAATGTTTTATAGTACCTCAGGTTTTCAATCCAGAGTTAGCATACTTAGGGAAGGAACTTATAGTGAGAGCAGATTAGGGAAGATTTGCTTTTTTTCTCTCCTTGGAAGCCATGTGAAGGTTACCCCATGTATTACTTTTCATCACCAAAAAGTTCTCTGGAGACCAACAGAAAAAAAGTGTCACAAGCTATATGATGGCTATCATATTTTCAAGTTGCATGTGATTTCAATGTGGCTAGTGAGGTTAAACTAGTTCAGCCCTAATTTCATTAGAGTGAATAACTAAAAACAAAATAAGGGTAAATTTAGTTCCCAACACAAGGGGAAAAAAAAAAACCTCTCCACATAATAAAATACATGCTTAACACAAAGTAAGGGTATAATATACTCTGCAGCATGACATTTTATTATATTTCTCAGCTATAGTTCTTCCATTCAGAAATTGGAGACCATCTTTTCATTAAGCTGTTATTCCCTCCTTTCCCCAGCTTAGGGATATGTTGAAAACAGCTTGATTTGTACAAGTTGTTATGAAATTAAATTTTCATTCATATATATTTTAAGAGTTCAAAATGCACTCAAAATTGTAGCTTACATGTATTTGACGTCTGAAAATAAAATAACACTTTTAACATAATTTTTCTGTTCTGTAAAAATATTCTACATACATGCATATGATCATAACAATCTTTTCACGTTTGGGAAATTTTTTCTGCACAGAAAAAAAGGTCAAGAATTGTATCAGTATTTCCAATGTTATGATAACTGGGTGCCACCTAGTGTTCAATTTCTGTAACTCCCAAGCTTACAAATTCAAAATTGCTATTAAAACCCAGGTTTTAAAAAGTACATTTTAGAAATGCTTTTTTGGATAAGTTTATGGTGGCAAAATGAGATCATGAAAAAAATGTACATGATATCAAAATTAGTATAAAAATAGCCACATGCTACTTAAATATGTAAAACGGACTTATCACTTTTGACTTCAAATGCAGATTTTTGCCTCCTTCGAATTTTATCAAAATCTCAAAGGAACATCTAGGTAACTGGAATATACACATAGATTCTGTACAGTCAACAGGCTAGTCAAAACTAGGGCTTAATCATAATTCATAATGAGTACAAGGCAAATGGTTTATTCAAAACATCCATTTACTTACTGGAAGTGGTCAAAGTAGGAAAGGCAGCAATGCATTTTTTTTTTTCTTTTTTAAAATAGGTGCTGTGGTCTTCTACCCATAAGCTCCATTACATCAAAAGAACAAAGTGGGCTTAACATTTCAACATAATTCGGCATTATCAGTTTTTAAAGAACACAAATATCTTAGAAACAAATCAGTCTGCTTTAACAAATTGCATTCATGCTAATGAAATTTTAATCTTCTTTAAGGGTCTTGGCCGAAATCCAAACTGTAGGACGATCTTCGGAAAAATTGGAATGTAAAATGTTGAGTTCGATTTAGATCTGGAAGGTAAAAAGAACATCAGGCCAAAGGAAAAAAGAATTCTTATATTCCAACAGCCTACTACATATAAGGGAGACTTTCACCTCCTTAGGCTATCTGGGAAATAAATCCAATTTGAAGACCAAATTCCACATACCAGGTTTTTCTCAATCCCAGCCTGCTATTAGTAAATCTCTCCTGTAATATTAGTGTATCCTTTCTTCTTTTTGTGCTAGTGACAAGAGATTTCACGTTTTGTGGGTAGGAGCAGACATGGAGGAGCATGATCTCTTTAAGAATAGGATAAGTGTGATACTGACCTACTCCTCCTCTGAGTCAATCTTGTTATAGGAGTGATGGCTAGAACACCTATAAACCATATGGAGAAATGTCTTGGAAAAGTAGAGTTCTCAGGTGATAGAGACCAAACCCTTAAGAAATGTTCAAGGCCGGGCGCGGTGGCTCACGCCTGTAATCCTAACACTCTGGGAGGCCAAGGCGGGCAGACTGCTCAAGGTCAGGAGTTCAAAACCAGCCTGAGCAAGAGCAAGACCCCGTTTCTACTATAAATAGAAAAAAAATTAATTGGCCAACTAATATATATAGAAAAAATTAGCTGGGCATGGTGGTGCATGCCTGTAGTCCCAGCTACTCGGGAGGCTGAGGCAGCAGGAACTCCTTGAGCTCAGGAGTTTGAGGTTGCTGTGAGCTAGGCTGACGCCATGGCACTCACTCTAGCCTGGGCAACAAAGCGAGACTCTGTCTCTAGAAATAAATGAGCTGGACAACTAAAAATATATATTCAAAAAAAAAAAAAAAAAAAAAAAAAAAAATGTTCAAGAGAGAGCTCAAATTCCTTTAATGACCACTGTCTTTACCTTCTCTTTTTTTCCAGCTGGCCAGCTGGGTCCAGTTCTGAGGAAGCATTGGCATAGATTCAGAACTTTTTTTTTTGAGAAATCTTAACTATAAATCCTCAACCTATCATTTTGGTGTATGTGGCTTCATATTCATGCATGTTCTTTGGTTAAGTTCCTTAATTTTCTAAAGAGGGCTTCTACGCCAGCTCAGCTACCAAAATGTTTGGATGGGCTCTTAATCCCCAAGTCAGGTGTCAGGTTCTTACCATAGAATAGAATTAATTCTATGGTCAAAGTATTTTAGTAGCAGTTTAGTTACAAGAATTCTCTTGGCTCAGGGTCTCCACAGAGAGGTACATTAAGAAAATAATAAAACTCAAATGCACACACACATTGTATGCATGTACATAAATTTTATTTACTTTATGGTGCATTTTAAATGGTTTGGAGATGCATGAAAATATAAAATGGACTGAAGGATGAGTAGAGGGATGGATGGATATGCGATAAATCAAGTACAGAAAAATGTTAATTGAAGAATCTCTGTGGTAAGCATAGGTTATGATGCCTAAATCAGATTTTTCCAAAACTGGCCCCCATATTTTTGAAAATCTCTGGTGATTCTATTGCACAATCTTGGATCAGGAACAACTGTTCTTAAGTATTCTGTAATTCTATCTTTGAATGAAGTTAAACATTATTACTTTTTTTAGAGACAGCATTTTGCTATGTTGGCCAGGCTGGAGTGCAGTGGCTATTCACAGGTGCGATCATCATGCACTACAGCCTTGAATTTCTGCGTCAGCCTCCAGAACAGCTAGGAAGGACTACAGGCACATGATACCATGCCCGGCTTATTATTATTTTGGATTTATATAGAAAGGTGGTCTCTGAACTACATTTTATGTAAAGGGAGTTGAAAAGAACAACCCAAACCAGATTTAAGAGTAACTTATGGGCCAGGCACGGTGGCTCATGCCTGTAATCCTAGCATTCTGGGAGGCCGAGGCGGGTGGATTGCTCAAGGTCAGGGGTTCAAAACCAGCCTGAGCAAGAGCAAGCCCCCGTGTCTCTACTATAAATAGAAAAAAAATTAATTGGCCAACTAAACATACACACACACATGTATATATATAAATAAAATTAGCTGGGCATGGTGGTGTATGCCTGTAGTCCCAGCTACTTGGAAGGCTGAGGTAGGAGGACTGCTTGAGCCCAGGAGTTTGAGGTTGCTGTGAGCTAACCTGACGCCATGGCACTCTAGCCCAGGAAACAAAAGTGAGACTCTGTCTCAAAAAAAAAAAAAAAAAAGTAACTTATGATACCACCCCTATAAAATTACCTATAATTCTACTAAACACATTTATATTGCCAAAAGATTAAGTTTGAATTTCTTTCAAAAATAGTAACAGAAGTGCACTGAAGCATTTGTATGGGGATTATTGCTTTATTATCAGGAAAAACAATACATTTTCCTCAAAATAAACATACCAACTCCAAACCAAGAGTGCCAATGGCACATACCAAACAGATAAAATAATGTAATTGGCAACAGGCCTCCATCTTAACTAGGCTTTCAGTATATATTGTAATTCTAATGCTGGTTCAAACAAGATTTTTCTTTAAACATACTAATAGCTACCTCTTTAGACACTTTTAAACAAGTTTTAAGATTAGAGTGCCTAGTGTTCATACTGCCAAAGCAAACACTGATCTTTTCAGCAATATTGAAGAATTCTCAAAGTATAAACTGTTAGACTAGTTGTCTTCTAAATAATACTGAGTATAATTTAGTCTCAAAATATACCAAATATACCCTCATTTAAGTGTCCCACATTCTTAAAATTAAAGGAAGTTAGGGGGAAAGAGATTATTTCTCTGTGGACAGTAACGGAATAACCAGAAAATGCAAAGTGCGTCTACTTACGTCATCAATGTCTTCATCATCATCTCCTATGTCATCAAACTGAATTTCATCATCATCTCCAGGACCAAATGTATCGGTTTCATTGATTTTAGCTAAAGACACAATAACAAATATACTCATATAATAAAACCAAAATGTTATTAAAACGAGTAACTACCCACTAAAAGAAGTAGGTCTAATATCAAATGCTGAACTATAAAAGGAGACTTTCACAAGTCAACCTTGTAATTTAAGTTTCATTATAACAAAAGTCTTCCTAACTTCTATATAACAAACTTACTACTACTATACAGAACATTTAATACAACAAAATTCCCAGCAAGGTCACTGCTATGTCAAGAAGGAGAGTATCTGTGTTATAATTTTCTTTTGTTCACAAAGGTATTTTTAGTAAGGCAGGCTCTAATTACACTAATTCTGAAGCTATTTTAACTTCCAGGTATGCTTCCTTTGCACTTGCTTGCTTTTTTCTCGATTCCTTTATTCTACTCAGGATTTAATTTTTTTTTTTTTTTTTGAGACAGAGTCTCACTTTGTTGTCCAGGCTAGAGTGAGTGCCGTGGCGTCAGCCTAGCTCACAGCAACCTCAAACTCCTGGGCTTGAGTGATCCTTCTGCCTCAGCCTCCCGAGTAGCTGGGACTACAGGCATGCGCCACCATGCCCGGCTAATTTTTTTATATATATATCAGTTGGCCAATTAATTTCTTTCTATTTATAGTAGAGACGGGGTCTCGCTCTTGCTCAGGCTGGTTTTGAACTCCTGACCTTGAGCAATCCGCCCGCCTCGGCCTCCCAAGAGCTAGGATTACAGGCGTGAGCCACAGCGCCCGGCCAGGATTTAATTTTTTAAATACCAGATTTTACAAAGCACGGCAGTAGAATAAAAAACTGGAATTTCTTTTCATACAAACTTATTTGGATTTTTTTATATTTCAAATTATTGGTACATTCAAAGAGTAATTTTAATCTCTATAATTTTTGCTAACCGTGTCAAGTCACACTTGACATCCGAGTGCAAAGGGTTAAGCACATGCTAACAACTTATTTCCTTGAGATAATAATCATGGTTCACCATGAGATAGATTCATCAATCAGAAAGATTTGGTCAAATCATGCTTACCCCAAAGCAATAAAAGTGAAGTGTTAATTCTACTCATCCCTAGATATATTAGCATTTCCTAAATTAGAAATGCTTAAGTAAAATTAGGTTGTTATGCATAATAAAATACAACAGAGAAAAGAGCCAAAAATGAAAAATGTAGGCTTACAAAATAGTATGCAAAGTGTGTTTCCCCTTTGATGACATTATGAGGGACTTATTTTTGTTTTAGGTTTTCTGCATTAAGAATGCATTAGTGTTATATTTGGAGGGGGGAAACAAAGAATGTTGGTTTACTATGATACAAAGATAAGATGGACTGAAAACGAACTTTTTAATAAAAATCAGCGGCACCTAATTATTGTCATTGCTTTGTGTTTAATGCAGGCAAACATTTGCCAGTCTCTTGAGCAAGGCATTTTAAAATAAATATAACAAAATTGCCTCTTTGGCATTATGTAGAAGTCCAGGGCTTATAACTCCTCATCAAAAGTATATTTATTAGGAACAGAACTCCAGCAACTTCTTTCTTACAGTATCTAGTATAACTAAGTATAGTCAGGCATACTGAAAACTAATTGTGTAAGCACAAAGGCAAATGTGCAAAATCCACAAAATTCTGCCAACATCCCTTCACCTCAACACCAACAAATAACCTAAATACCATGTAACAGAAGTTAATAGAACATTACCATGCTCTGGAAGTTCGCCGTAGGCCTTCAGACTTCTAGCTTCGTCTGCGTTGTATTTTAAAATTACATCGGCTTTGTTATCCTTAAATAGAGACAAGTAAGTTTTAAAACTAATTATGCCAAAATATTCAGTTATTTCACAAATTATTTTCAAACTGAATAAAAAAGTCCACCCTCACTGTTTTGCTAGAAACTCTTCTTTTTTTAAATTTTAAAGTTTTCTCCTACCTCCTGAAAAACAACCTTGGGTTTAACCCAGTAAGAAGTATACATGCATGACTGAATAATGATTAACAAGCTTAGGAAACATATTTACAGATCTGCCTTTAATAAGAGAACTATGCAGACCCCATCTTTTAGATAGATTATTTACTATTACCCTTTGAACAGAGAAGTCTTTTGAAATACAAAAGTTCCCTGGGACCATAATTTGCAGGGTGATCAGACATGCGATTCAAAAACTGGGACAGGTATAATGACCTATGGAAATCAATACACCTTTTGATATATGTGTTTCTCAGGGTATGTATCAATCAGAATATCCTGTGCAATTTTTACATCTGCTGAAGATAGATTAGTAGATATGAAGTGAAGCCCAAGAATTTGTATTTTTAGAAGTTCTTTGGGTACTCTGATGCAAATGTCCCACTAGGAAATAATGACTTAGAATGTTTATATTTCCCCATTTGAAAAGAATCTGAGAGAAAATTGATTGCTTCAACTTCAAGGGCAGTGTGATTAAGACCAGGACTTCTTAAAACATAAAGTGTATAGATGCTTATGGGATCTTGTTAAAATGCATGTTCTGATTGAGGAGGCCTGGGGTGGAGTCCAAGAATCTGCCTTTCTGTAATAACATGCTCTCAGAAGACAATGCTGCTGCTGATTCCTGGACTACCCTGTAAGCGACAGGAGCATAGGAGAATCACAAGAGATTCCGAATGGTAAGAGCTGGTCCTGGCTGTCACTTTACAACCAGGAAGTTACTGCTTTCAGACTGGTGTTCTTATCTGTCAAAAAGGAAATTATTCTTCCTTCTTCTGGAGTTACTGTTAAGATCTAAAGAAAATGGACATTAAAATGGTATGAATTTAAAAAAGGCTTTCTCAACCTTGGGCACTATTGATGATTCTGAACTAGATAATTATTTGTTAGATGATATCCTATGCATTGTAGGATGGCCTCTACGTGATACAGGAGAGCAGCACTACACCACTCCCCAAGTTGTGGCAACCAGAAATGTCTCTAGTCATTGCCAATGTCCCCTGGAAGGCAAAACTGCCCACAATTGAGAACCAATGATTTAGATTGAAGATTTTAATTCTTTATTCTGAAATACTTTTGAAAAATCAAAGTATATAATCAAGGCTATAAAAATATTGATAATGTCGCATAGGAATGAGTTCCAATAGGTGGAAAGCAAATGGATTTCACAAATCCACAATGAGCACATAATCAAGGTTAAGACTATGAAGGGTAACTAACATTTTTTTCACAAGTGCTCATTTAAATTTATCACACATACTTTTGTTGTGGCATGCATTTGTAATTACTTGTGTGCCTCTCTTATTTTCTCTACTACCAGGCTATATAAGCTTTTTGTAGGATGGGAGCTTGACTCACTCAGCTGTATCCCCTAGAATAATGGCTCCCAGGTTCTGATTTAAAGACCTATAAAATAAAGAGACCATTTAGCTTCATGAAAAGTTTGTATGTTGACTCCACAAACTGGCATCTGGGAACCATAATCCCTGGGGTATTAGCACAATGGCTAAGACAGACACAACTGGCTCTTAAGGAATGGCTCATCAAAGTAGAGCCGGTAAAGAATAAAATATTTAAATGTAATTTTTACCTGGTAGTCTCGGAGACCAACCAATATTATGTCTGAAGTATTTATCCAAACCTATAAAAGAGAAGTTTCCATATGTTATATTTAAAATAAAAATGAAAAATCAAGAAATTCCAGATTAACAGTTTAGAAATTAAGAGATTTGTGAACCACTCCAAGTGGCTAGTTATCTATTATCATATGAGAAGGCCTGTAATCCCAGAGTTTAGGGAGGCTGAGGCTGGAGGATCGCTGAAGGCCAGGAGTTCAAGACTAGCCCTGGCAACATAGCAAGACCACCCCCCCCATAAAAAAAAATGACCCAGGTGTGGTAGGCATGCACCTGTAGTCCTAGCTACTTGGGAGGCTGAGGCAGGAGGATCACTCAAGCCCAGGAATTCGAGGCTGCTGTGAGCTATGATCATGCCACTGCACTCTAGCCTGGGCAACAGAGTAAGATCCTGTCTCATATACATATATATATATATTTTTTTAAAACATGAGAATAGAAAATTATGTTGTTTTATCTCTTTCCCTTTCTTCCCACCTTTCCACTCACGCACATGTTTACAGCTCCCCAAACCTCTTTAGTTTGGGAACCGAAGGATTAATATATCAAAACAAACAAACAAACAAAAATCCACAAATGAGAGTTGAGACTTTAACCACCTTGATTAATAAATTTGCCGGAACACCTACTGTAATAGTGAATTAATCATTATTTTTCAAGGCAGTCCATTCATGATTATATTCAGAAAATGCAAATGAATACAATGCTTATTTAACAGAATTCATATTCAGATTTTCATAATACACCCTTTACAGTTATCCCCCCAACCCCTAAACCAGAATCCAAATAAGGAGTCCTTGAAACTAGAATAGTTTTTTTACTTTCATGACATTAACATCTTATTAAGAACCAGGCCATTTGTTTTGCAGAATGTCTTTCAACCTGGATTTGTTGATTGTTTCCTCAGGATTCAGATTCAGGTTAAGTATTTTGCATAGGAATACAACATAGGTGATACAAACGATTCCTTAAACAATACAATCTGTATAAAATTACCATTAAGAATCTTTGCTATTTGACTTATAGGTAAATCACTGTTTATCCAGGTAAATCTTTTGGGAATTTCTAAAAATGAAGTCCTTGGCCAATAAAAAAATGTAGAGGCATTTTCCCATCTTAATCAAGTTTATATTAAAATAAAATAAATCTCCATACCTACCTTTTTTCTCAATTTCCCTCTGATGTGACATAACCTCTTTACACCATCAAAACACATCGCCTCTAACCTTCCATTTCCTAACATTTTGATAACCTGAGCGTACTCTAGGGAGGAAAAAAGAAAAGGGTATGAAAAGGTTCAACTTTTAATATAAGTAACTTAAAGTCTACACAAAACTGAGAAGCAAAAACATACATTGTAGTGGTTTGGAGTAAACATATGCAGTAAAAGTATAAATAAATACAAGGGGGTGATAAGCACCAAACTAGTTAATGGCGGAGCACTCTAATGGCCACTGTACTCTAGCCTGGGCAACAGAACGAGACCATCTCAAAAACAAAAGTGGCCGGGCGCGGTGGCTCACGCCTGTAATCCTAGCACTTTGGGAGGCCGAGACGGGCGGATTGCTCAAGGTCAGGAGTTCGAAACCAGCCTGAGTGAGACCCCGTCTCTACCAAAAATAGAAAGAAATTAATTGGTCAACTAAAAATATATATATACAAAAAATTAGCCGGGCATGGTGGCGCATGCCTGTAGTCCCAGCTACTTGGGAGGCTGAGGCAGTAGGATTGCTGAGCCCAGGAGTGTGAGGTTGCTGTGAGCTAGGCTGACGCCACGGCACTCACTCTAGCCTGGGCAACAAAGTGAGACTCTGTCTCCAAAAAAAAAAAAAAAAAAAAACAAAAGTGCTCAAAATTATTGGGACAACTGGGGAAATCTGAATATGAACTATATACCATATAACATTCATATTAAATTACCAGAGTATTGTAATTCTATTATAGTTATGTAAGAAAACATACCTGCTTGCAGGAGATACATGATAAAGTAGTAAGGGGAAAGTAGCATGATGTCTTTAATTAAATTTCAAATGGTCCCCAAGCCCCCCCAACAAATCTGTTTCTCTGTGTGTGTCTATACAGACAAAGGGTTTAATGGAATTCATTGTACTAATATTGCAACTTTTCCATATGTTTGAAATTATTCAAAATAAAACTAGGGGGAGAAAAAGCAAGTGATCCAGTCGTCAGAATTTATTTTTCTAGTATTATCTGGCTCTTAAAATCTTAATCAGTCTAATAACCGATCAATTGTTCAGTTTCATGTTATTCCAGTTTATGAAATCATATGCTAATGGCAATGAGAATGAAGAGGCCTATGTCAGCCTTGGATACATCCTTCAAACATCCGTGGTCTACTGAACACAGTGTGCAGCACCATTTATTATCAAAAATGGTCCACCAAGTCACAGAATTATCAACCATAGCTTCTGAGGCTTAAATCCCTTTGAATTGTACAATAACTCATTCTTAGTTATGAGTGCTCATACAAAACAGGGATATCTGTATGTTTAGAGAAAGGTGTACTGAGTAGACCAGGAAACGATTACCAAATGAAAGGCTCTGGAGAAGTATGGGGGATGAGAAATGGAGAAGAGTAAAAGTGTCATCAGATTTACTGCTCAGGATTATGAATAGGATCCTTTTTGAATTTAAGCCTGAAATCCCATATTTTAAAAAGTTGTTACTAACAAAAGCCTAACTTATGAAAACACTTACCTTGTCCATCTTCTTTGAATACCAGCTCTCTTTTCTCAGATTCATTTTCATTCTTACCTCTTCGTCTATTTTTACCTCCTTTACCTAATGGTTTTAAAAACAGAAAAGAAACGACATTAATCATCTGCCAAACAGTATGAAAAGAAGCTAAATTACTCATATTAAACTTGCAATCTCTGATCACAACTTTAACAGATTATTATTATCCCCCTACCCTTCTTGGAAGTCCCTTTTGGGATTTTTCTGATATATACAACCCCAGTGGCCATGCGATAGTGCCACCCATTTGCTTGTCACAATCACCCCATGAGGTAACAACGGTCATCTACTCACAGTTTACCAATGAGTTCACTGAAGCTCAGAGAAGTAACTCACTTAGAGTCATTCAATCAGGGTGACCAGATTCACACCTACTATATGACCCCTTTTTGCTCACAGCCCCCACATTAGAGTACCTCCAAAGCATTTTGTTCACATTCCAGAACCTAAACTACATTGGGTCTTGATAAATTTTATAAAAATGCCCTGTTCCTCTCATACTTGACACCTCATGAAAGGAGTATGAGTAGGAAATGACTGGAGTAAGAAAGGCAAAGTTATATCTACTGGAACAGGACACATTGATTTTTGCGGTGGCAGAGGGAGTGGAGCAACCCTGGCAACCCCAAGAATTTGAATTTTATCTTATAAGCTGTAGCATACATTAAGCAAGGCATTCGAAGTTAAAAAGGTGCTAATAATCGCCTGAACTTGGGAGCATTGAAGATGTCCTTCAATAGGCAAATGGATGGATAAACTCTGGTACATCTATACAATGGAATGCTATTCAGTGATAAAAAGAAATGAGCTATTAAACACTGAAAAGACATGGAGGAACCTAAAATGCATATTGATAAGTGAAAGAAGCCAACCTGTGAAGGCTACATATATAGTATGATTCCAACTACATATGACATTCTAGAAAAGGTAAAACTATGGAGACAGGAAAAAAAAAATCACTGGTTGCCAGCAACTGGGAAGGAGGCAATGAGTATTTGGAGCACAGGGGATCTTCAGGGCAGTGAAACTATTCTGTATGATACTGTAATGGTGGATACGTATCACTATACATGTGTCAAAACCTATGCAATGTACAACATGAAGAGCTAACCCTAATGCAAACTATAGACTTTGGCTAATAATAATGCATCTATGTTGGCTCATCAATTGTAACAAATAGACCACCCCAATGCAAGTTGTTAATAATGAGGAAAACTGTGGGTAGGAGGAAAGAGAAGAGGGTATATGGGAACTCTCTGCTCATTTTTCTATAAACCAGAAACTGCTCTAAATAGTAAAGTCTATTTAAAAGCAAGGAATCCAATCAGCAAAATCCAATCCTACAATTCTGTAGCAATTCTATAAGACAATCTGGTTTCTTCAATATATTGTGAAGAAAATTTTAAAAACTAGACAGAAGAGGAACCTAAAGATTAAAGAGACTGAAAAGATCTATCAGTCAATTGCAACACACAAACTAACTCTGGATCCTGATTTGGTGAGGACGGTGCAAGATTAACCATAAATTGAGGGCTAGGAGATGGGTACACAGAGGTTCATTACACTAATCTACTTTTGTATATATTAAAAATTCTTCATAATGTAAGTTTTAAAATAAAAAAGCAAGAGAAGAAGAGTATAAAACTACCACTGGTGTAAAAAGGAAGTATGTTCATATTAGTTTATATATACACAAATTATCTCTGGAAGGACATATACAAAAAAGTCAGCAATGACTGCCTATGAGAAGAACTAGGTGGCAATGGGACATATTTAGGAAAGAGATTTCACTTTTTATACTCTTTAAAATTTGAATCATGTGCATACATTTACTACTCAAAAATTTTAAATAAAAAATTCCTTTAATAAAAGGCAGAGGTGTAACATGAGCCTCCGAGTGGGAAACTGGTAAGAAGGTCACTGTTCTTATTATAGGTACAATGAAGCAGGCCTAGTCTAGAACTATCGAACACTGAAAAGACATGGAGGAACCTTAAATGCATATTGATAAGTGAAAGAAGCCAACCCGTAATAAAGGCTACATACATGCAAGAAAAGGAAGAAGATTCAATTACCTCTATACTCTTTCTACCATTCAGGAGTCTAGAATTCTATCTCACAGATATCCCTAAAAATCCATAATTCTCCCCCTTCCCATCCCTGTTCTTCATACTTTAATTTCCCACCTTCTGTGCATCTACTTACTAATGAGATTTATTTTTTTTCCTCACCTATCACTTCTATGCTAGTAATTTTACATCTCAGTGCCAATAATTCAACTTTTATATCTAATGGCTCAGTACATCTCCAGTGAAGGGGCTACTGCCTGTCACCTCAAGCTAAATTCTATTCAAAACTCAATTTGCTTTCTTTTATTATAGAAAGCTAGTCCTTAATCAACACCCTTGTTTCTATATGACCCCAGTGACCATGGTCTTAACTACTATGTAATAATGCCAAGCATTTATTTACTTGTCACAATAACCCAATGAGGTAATAATAGTCATTTACTCCCAGTTTACCAATGAGTTTGCTGAAGCTTGGAGAAGTAACTCACTATTTCAGAGTCAGTGATCAGTGCAAACAGATTCACACCTAATCCTAGCCACCACATTAGGCTATATCTCCATAACCTCTTGCCCCCATTCCAGAACATACACCACATTGGCAGCCATTTCTAAAAGGTGAGAGAAAGGCCATCAGTGGTAGTGTTACTCAGGGACTCATGGGAAGAGCTTGGGAGCAGGAAAAAGTTCACAGCCCAAATATAATCAAGAATGTGCACCTGGCCAATGCAAAGACAGACATGAAATTTCTTCAATCAAGTGACTTATTCTCTCCTGGGGCAGTCTCTGACTGCTCTGTGCTATTGTTAGGTGGGTCTCTACAATTTACTGACCCACCTAGAGTCCTTACAGTTCAGTATTTGAGGCATGTCTTAGGGCACACTGAAACTAATTTCCTAGGAAGAGAAAAGTATTTCAAGCTATTAATCATGCCAGATCTGCAAAACAGAGTGCAAGCTCTATTAGGGCAAGGATTATACCTGCTCTGTTTACTGAGTTATATACCTGAGTTTGGCAAGGCTTCCAATTAATCAGTCAAGAGTAGTTCGTACATTCCTAAAGGAGTGGTGATTTTAAAATCATAGGTAACCTCTTCAAAGTGAGAACACTTTACTCCAAATGCCCTTCATGCATGAGCCACATGATGTCTTTTTTCCTCATTTGGGGATGGGTTTCTAATAACTTCTAGAGGATACAAGCTGTTAACAATCAGTCCAAAGCAAAAGTCAAAATAGTTCATAGAAATTTTTATCCTTACTTGTGTAACCATCACAAGACTACATCCACAGAGCTTCTGGATTTTTCAATGGGGGAGAAAAACCCCAGAAAAATAAACATGAGTTTATTTCTTTGAACCCCACCTCATAAGATTCAGGAGTCTTAAAAAATATTCTTCCTCTAAGTAAAATAACATATAACTAAGAGAATCAATTTGTTTTACACGTACAGGAATGATAAACACCAAACTCAGCACAGTGGTTGGTTACCTTCAGGAACAGAGGAAGAGAGCTAAAGGGGATTGGGAAGGAGAACACAGAGGGCTTTACTTCAATCTGTGTGGTAATTCTTAAATTCAGAGTAATGCATTCCCAGGGGTCCATTATATCATCTGTATTTTTTGTATGCCCCAAATTGCTACTTATTAAAAAAAATGATTCATTACTTGTGAACATACCAGAAGTAGCCATACCATGATCTTTCCCCTCTCTATTTTATTGTGATGTAAGGGAATGCTCTTTAAATTCTTTTTTTTTTTTGAGCCAGAGTCTTACTCTGTTGCCCAGGCTAGAGTGCCGTGGCATAACTTAGCTCACAGCAACCTCAAACTCCTGGGCTCAAGCAATCCTACTGCCTCAGCCTCCCGAGTAGCTGGGACTACAGGCATGCGCCACCAGGCCCAGCTAATTTTTCTATACATATATTTTAGCTGCCCAATTAATTTCTTTCTATTTTTAGTAGAGACGGGATTTTGCTCTTGCTCAGGCTGGTTTCGAACTCCTGACCTTGAGTGATCCTCCCGCCTGGCCTCTCAGAGTGCTAGGATTACAGGCGTGAGCGCCCAGCCTAAATTCTCTTTTGAATGAATGAGACAAGTTCTGAGTGTACAATTAAAGATAAACATTCTAACTTTTTACCATGCTTTCTTTCAGAAAAGAGAAGGTAGCCTCTAAACTAAATCAAAATTCTCAAATTCCTTCTTTAAACCAATCAGAATGTTTTGGAGAAATTCCCAGGGGGGGACCTTTCTTAAGGCAAACATGAGGCTAGTGAACTAGATGTGATTTAGTGTAGAAGTCTTGTCCCCTTGAAACCAAAGGGGAACCTATTATTCACCTAAGGGTGGAGTCAACAGAAGTGAGGTGACTTAATACAACAAATATTTATTGAGCATCTACTAAGTGTCAAGTGGTAGCAATCCAATTTGATTAGGACAGATACTATTCCTGTCCTTTAGAGCTTACAGCCTAGTGAGGGAACTGAAAATATCATTACTAGAAATAAAGGTGAGAATAAGATACCTATTGAAGTAATCTAGTTACTAACTCAGAGGGAATAAAGAATTATAAGACTTTTAAAAGCTTTTATAATTCTATCTTTCCCAGTGTAAAAATCCTTGCTACTAAAAGGACCTGCAAGCTTGATTTCTGAGGGTAGCAAGGTGGAGTGCCCTGAGAGGACTGCACCACATTGAGCACATAACTTTGACCAAGTACCTGGAGGGATAAAGGGAGTAGTGACAGCTACAAAGAGGAAATGTGACAGAATCCCTGGAGCCAGCTGTTAAGAAGAGGGAACACAAGTGGGCCAGGGTCAGGGGAGAAGGTCCTCAGGATGAATAATCAAAGGAGAATTCTCGTGCCCTGTGAAATATGCTCCTTTCCTGTAGGAAATACAATGTTCTCCTTATTTCTACTTGCACAATTTCTTCGAGAAATTATAAGGACATCAAAAGTGACAGAAACTGTAAATCTGTCAAAAGGAGAATTTCTTTAGGAGTGTATTGCCTTTTTCATTTTGGAAATTCCACATAAATTTCTCCTCAAGTCTGATAATTTGAACGGAGGTAACTTTATTCCCATCACAATATGGGTATGATCTGAAGTAAAAGTAGAAAACTTGGCTAAATATGGAACAAGTCTTCTAGAAAAACAAATAAGCTAAACCATGAGAAGGGATGGAGAAGGGTCAATTTCTAGAGATGAGCCTTAAAAATGCATCAAGGGTTTGCCCACTGTTTACAAAGGACAGGGTAAGTGTCCATAAAGAAACCCATACAGGAGTACCTGGTGGTCATGAAAGCAGGCATCACCCTTCTAAAGTTCAGCACTGCTTTCAGAGTTTAACTCCTCAAGCCCGGGAAAGGGCAAAGAGGCCTATCTACGGAGCCCGGGCCGCCCCAGGGAAGGTCTCTCCACCAAGCCGCGGTCAGTCTGGCGCGAATCAGGAGCAAAAGCCCACATTCTCCCGCAGGAGGCCCTACAAAAATGGCGTCGGCTCCACCCCAATGTGACCAAACTGGGAAACAGGAGTTAACTTCCCAGCTCCTCTCCCGGGCTCAGAATCGCGTGTGGGCCGCCAGCCACAAGCAGGCAGAGCGGGAAGGAGAAAAGGTCACTGCGGCGGGGGCGACCCGGAGGCCCCAGGCAGGTCCGGGGAGACTCGGCTGAACAGAGCCGTGGTCCCGGGGTCCGGGCGACATTACCTTTATTCTTGGGCATGGCGGAAACGGCGGCCTCGAGGAGTCTCTGATTTCTTTCTGGGAGGCGGTGGTGGTGGTGGTGGTGGTGGTGGTGGCGGCGGCGGCGACTCCTCCGAGGGGTGACGCGAGGGAGCGCGCGGGACTAAGGTGGTACTGGAGGCCGCGTAGCGTGTTCAGGAGTCCCGCGACCGAGTTCTTCCGAGATGTGCCTGCGTCCACGTTCGGCAGCAGCAAATGGCGTCGCGGCTGCTTGCGTCACTGTTCCACGCCTCCCGCCGCCGGCTGGGCCCGCCCCTCCAAGCTCTAGGGCGCAGGCGTGACCGACAGACACCCCCCCCCGCCCCCTCCGCCTCTCCACCTCCCGACCCCCTCACCCCCTATTGTTAGAGCCGAGGGTGACGCGTTATGGGAGGGTTCGCGGCAAGCTGGAGAGCCCACGGGGGGCGGGGGAGGAGGTGGAGTCAGGGAGGGGATGGGCGGGGCCCTGTGTCGTCGTAAAGGGTGGATTGAGGTAGCGCCCGCTGCTGGCTATGCAGTGACCTCTGCTGCTTTGTAACAAACCCGTGTCTCCCGGTTTGACAAGTTACTGACTCATTAACCTCATTGTTGGCTCAGTTTTAACGCGGCCCTTTCACCCGCCCAGCCAGTTTGGGAGCCTTCCTGTCAACCATTTCCAAAGTATAATATTTGCATGCCACTCGTTATTACTTTCTAAATGTCTGTCGTCCCTACCTCACTGTAAACTTTACCAGGCAGAGACGTTTTTTGCTTACCATTTACCTACACTTAGAAGCATGTCAGGCACATAGTAGGTGCTCAATATACACAAGAAGAAAGGAAGGGGCCGGGCGCGGTGGCTCACGCCAGTAATCCTAGCACTCTGGGAGGCCGAGGCGGGCGGATTGCTCGAGGTCAGGAGTTCGAAACCAGCCTGAGCAAGAGTGAGACCCCCCGTCTCTACTATAAATAGAAAGAAATTAATTGGCCAACTAATATATATAGAAAAAATTAGCCGGGCATGGTGGCACATGCCTGTAGTCCCAGCTACTCGGGAGGCTGAGGCAGCAGGATCGCTTGAGCCCAGAGTTTGAGGTTGCTGTGAGCTAGGCTGATGCCATGGCACTCACTGTAGCCTGGGCAACAAAGTGAGACTGTCTCAAAAAAAAAAAAAGTGTTAATGGGCTGAATTGTGTCACCCTAAAATTCACATGTTGAAGTTCTAACTCCAGGTACCTCAGAACGTGACTATTTGGAGATGGGGCCTTTAAAGAGGTGATTAAGTTGAAATGAGGGCATTAGGGTGGGTCCTAATCCAGTATGACTGGTGTCTTTATAAGATTAGGACATAGGCATAGAGGGAGAACGCCATGTGAACAAGAAGGTGGCCGTCTATAAGCCAAGGAGAGAAGCCTCAGAAGAAATCAGCCCTGATGACACCTTGATGTCAGACTTCTAGCCTCTAGAACTGTGAGAAAATAAATGTATGTCGTTTAAGCCACTCAGTCTGTGGTACTTTGTTATGCCAGCCTTAATAAACCAATAGAGCTGTCTATGCTGGGCAAATAGGTTTATTTCTAAAGTAAACTTATTTTAATTAAATTCACCTTTCTGCAAACATCAGGGTTTTAACATCATCTCTCTAGGGAAATGGACATACTTCGATGATAGAGAAATAAAATATAATCATGTAATGCAGTGGTTCTCTATTGGGAACATTTGGCAATGTCTGGAGACATTTCGGGTTGTCACAACCTGAGGGGGGGCAGTGATACTTGCATCTAGTGGGCAGATGCCAGGGATGCTGCTATACATCCTACAGTGCACAGTACAACCCACCTTCGCCCCCTCCCCCAGCAAGCTAAGGATTATGTAAATGTCAATGGAGCTGAGATTGACAAACCCAACGATAGATGCAACTTTTCAGAGGGAAACTGAAAGATGATAAAGGACTCAAAGTTCAGGGTTTCTCTTTCCATTTGCAATATTTTGCAGTTTACATAACCAAGATGAAAGGAGGTCTTTATGAAATTTATTTAAATTTTGCTTCAAGGCCAAATGATTATGTACTTGGGCTTTGGAGTTAGACCTTGGTTCAAATCCAGACTCTATAGCAATTTATTACTCTATGATCTTGGACAAGTTATTTAATCTCTTAACAAAAAGCCTCATTTTTCTCATCTGTAAATTGGGTCTAGGAATAGTACTTAGATTATTGCAGGAATTAAATTGATATAATGCATTCAATGTTTGGTGATTGTGCCTAGTACATGATAAGCAATCGGTGAGACTCCAAGTGTTTGGAAGTCCAAATGTTTAAAAATGCAAAGTCTCTGTCAATTACCTAGTACAAAACCTCAACAGAGTAAAAAAAAATCAGGCTTCATTTCTCTACTATGGGATGGTTCGACATCTGTCTGATCATCAGAATCTCCTGGAAGGAGGTAAGTCATGTGGACATCTGGAGGAAATGTGTATGAGGCAGAGAGAATAGCAAGGGCAAAGGCTGCGAGTGGAGTGTGCTTGCCATTTTCAAGAATAGCAAAGAGGCCAGTTTGGCTAGAATGCTTCAAGCCAGTGGAAGAGTGTGGGGAGATGAGATCAGTGTAGGGAGACCAGATCACTCATAATCTTTAGGTTTTAAACAGATCATTTTGGTTTCTGTGTGAAGAATAGACTGTAGGGTAAAAGGGGTAAAAACAGAGACCATGCAGGAGGCTACTGGAATAGACCAAACAAAAGACAATGGTGGCTTAGACTAGGGTACAAGGTTTCTATTGGGATGGTGAGAATGTTCTAAGATCAGATTATGATAATAGTTACACAACTCTGTAAATACTACACTAAAAAACATTAAAAAGTTCACTTTAGGGGCCGGGCATGGTGGCCCACGCCTATAATCCTAGCACTCTGGGAGGCTGAGGTGGGCAGATTGTTTGAGCTCAGGAGTTTGAGACCAGACTGAGCAAGAGCGAGACCCCTGTCTCTACCAAAAATAGAAAAAATTAGCCGGGCATGGTGGCGCATGCCTGTAGTCCCAGCTACTCGGGAGGTTGAGGCAGAAGGATCGCTCGAGTCCAGGTGTTTGAGGTTGCTGTGAGCTAGGCTGACGCCACGGCACTGTAGCAGGGGCAACAGAGTGAGACTCTGTCTCTGAAAAAAAAAAAAGGACACTTTAAATGGGTGAACTTTGTGGCATATACATTATTTCTCAATAAAGCTGTTATAAAAAAAAGAAAGAAATAGGAGAATGGACCTGACCAAGGGGAAAAAAAATAAAAGAATTGACAAATGGTACTGAAGGTTTAGCTGAGCTTAGAAAACATAAGCCTGCAGTGGTATCGATTTGCATAACTTTATAGGGTTTCTTTCAACATATTCAGAGCCATACATACAGAATTAACCAAAATGATCCAGGACTGAAGTTTGTGCAGTGGGTACAGTATAAAGGCAAAAATGTAAGGAAGTTCAGGGTGTTTTTGAGAGAGTTCAGATGATCAACTATGCAGTTTGAGCCTCCTGTCTTGCATCTTTTCTTACATTTTAAGCTCCAGTCATACCAAAGTTTTAATTTTCTTGAATGCTTCTAACTCTAACTCTGTCTGAATCTCTGTACATTCTATTCTACCCTTCCCCCTTGCCCTTTTAGGTCTCATCTTAAATCATTCTTTCCTTACAAGGTCTGCCCTGATCCCTAGGAAACCCTGCTATATTTTCTTACAGCATCCTACATTTCCTTTACCTAGCTTTTCTCTCTCCTCTCCTCCCCTCTCCTCTCTCCCTCTTCCTCCTCTCCCCTCCTCTCCCCTCCCCTCTCTTCCTCCCTCTCCCTCCCTTCCTCTCCTCTCCCTCCCTCTCCCTCCTCTCCTCCTCTCCTCCTTCTCCTCCTTCTCCTCTCCTCTCTCTCCTCTCCTCTCCTCTCCTCTCTCTCCTCTCCTCTCCTCCTCTCTCCTCTCCTCTCCCTCTCTCTCCTCTCCTCTCCTCTCCTCCTCCTCTCCTCCCTCCTCCTCCTCCTCCCTCCTCCCTTCCTCCCTCTTCCCTCTCCCTCCTCCTCCTCTCCTTCCCTCCTCTCCTTCCCTCTCCTCCTCCCTCCCTCCCCTCCCTCCTCTCCTCTCCTTCCTCCTCCTCCCCTCCTCCCTTCCTCCCTCTCCTCTCCTTCCTCTTCTCCTCCCCTCCCCTCCTCCTCTCCTCTCCCTCCTCTCCTCTTCTCATCTCTGCTCCTCTTCCTTCCTCCCCTCCCCTCCTCCTTCTTCCTCTCCTCCTCCTTCCCTCTTCTCCTCTCTCCCTCCATCTCCCTCCCCTCCCCTCTACTCCCCTCCTCCTCTCCTCCCCTCCCCTTCTCTCTCTCTCTCTCTCTTGAATTCTATCAATTCAGGGTACATTAACACAGAGCTGCAGTAGGCGTGACCATGGCAAATATTGCTTCTCTGCGTCAGCCTGAGGAGCAGGGTTTTCTCTAGATAATCATGGTAGGCAGAGTAATGAACCCCAAAGATGTCCAGGTCCGAATCCCTAGAATCTGTGAGTATGTTATCTCATGTAGCAAAAGGGAATTTAGGTTGCAGATGCAGTTAATGTTGCTATCAGTTGACCTTGAGATGGGGGAGATTATCCTACATTACCTGGGTGGGTAAAATCTAATCACACAGTCCTTAAAAGTGGGAGAAGAGGCAAAAGGGAGGGTTCATAGAGATACATTTGAAGAGGACTCAATCTACTTTTGCTGGTTTTGAAGATGGGGGCAGCCTTTAGAAACTGGAAAAGGCAAGGAAACAATTCTCCCCTAGAACCTTCAGAAAGGAATGCAGCCCTGCTAACATCTTGATTTTAGTCATGACCTGTATTGGACTTCTGATCTCCAGAACCGTAAGAAAATACATTTGCATTGTTTTAAGCCACTAAATTGTGGTAATTTGTTACAAAGATGGTAGAAAAATATAGTCAGCATTCCTACATTGCTACAGTAGAATTCAAAGTAGACCTTGAAGCTCACCATCTTATCTTGTATACCTATATTAATACAAGTGGATAGTCCCTAAACTAGCTGGTATGGGCTGAATTGTGTCCTCCCCAAATCCATATGTTGAAATCGCAATCCCCTGTACCCCAGAATTTCACAGTATTTGGAGATAAGATCTTCAAAGAAATGACTGAATTAAAATGAGGCCATTAGAGTGAGGCTGTGATGCAATGACTGGTGTCCTTATAAAAAGAGGAACACCAGGGGTGCACATGCAAAGGACCAACCACAAGAGGCAGCAAGAGGGTAGCCAACTGTAAGCCAAAGAGAAAGGTCTCAGAAGAACCCAACCCTGTAGTCACCTTGACCTTGGACTTCCAGTCTCCAGAACTGTGAGAAAATATAAATTTCTGTTGTTTAAACCACCCAGTTCATGGTATTTCATAATATAAAACTACTTTAAAATTGTGAACTGGTAAAGAGGGCTAACTTCAGTTCAGGCCTATGGAACTCATCCCCTGTTTACTAGGAACCAGTGACCTCAATCAAATTTCCTCTCAAATGTGCTAATGATACTAGCAGAAAGAAAATGAAAAGTCATTATTTCTAAGATGCTTTTAGCAAGATATATGTGTTCTTTACAAATGGTTTATTGTAAAATGTGGAATTTGTGGATTTATGAGACATGTCTGGCTGGAAATGTCATTTAAATTGCATAATTAAGTATAAAAAGATGTTGCAAAACCAAATAACTGTTTGAACAGTCTCAATGTACAGTGCTCAGAGGGAAACTTGTCCTTTAATTCTGAATCCAAATGCACCATAATGAGAAAGAAAAAGGACAATTTTTTTGTATGATTTCATTTATATGGAATGTCCAGAATAGACAAATCTGTGAGAACATAAAATAGGCTAGTGGTTGCCTAGGGTTGGGGGGAGGACTGGAAGAATAGAAAATGACTGTTACTAGGTGTGAGGTGAAAAAGGATAATTTTGGAGCTGAGTTTGGTAGTTTTGGACCTCCCTAAGAAAAGAATGTTTCATCTGTGCCTTGTGATCACTTTATATCCTTCAGTTCATTATCAAGTTTGATACTGGATAAGATCTATGATTTATGCGACTTGACAAATCCTTTGGGTGAAACAAGACTATGCACAGAAAAAATATTTTGCACTTCGTAGTTCAGAAACATTTCTGAGCTGTGTGCAGTGGCTCATGCCTGTAATCCTAGCACACTGGGAGGTCAAAGCAAGAGGATCACTTGAGGCCAGGAGTTCAGGACCAGCCTGAGCAACATAGTGAGACCCCATCTGTACAAAAAAATGGAAAACTTAGCCAGGCATGGTGATGCACACCTGTAGTCCCAGCTACTTGGGAGGTTGAAGTGGGAGGATTGCTTGAGGTTGTTGTGAACCATCATGTCACCACTGCACTATAGCACAGATAACAGAGCTAGACCCTGTCTCAAAAAAGAAAATAATTCTGTTTTTTTAAAGTTCTGTTAATCAAATTTCGTAAATATACTTTAGCTAGATTATAAAAGATTAATTCTATAATCAAAATATTCTGATAAAAGGGACATACATGCATTTATTTGAAACTTTATTATATAAATTTTCATTTCTTTTAAAGATTACAAAACCTGTTCTATGACAGGAATACAAGCAATATTGTTCCAGGATTATTCATGGATACATCTGAAAGAGCTTAGATTACACATTAATAGTATGATTCGAAAACTTCCCAGATTAGACTCTTAAGTAAAACAATTTAAAGTATTCAGTGATATTTGATCCTTTACAAGCATTTCATAATTATGGCAGCAGTGCCAAGCATCTGATGCGATTTAACCAACAATAAAAGGTACAATATGTAAGAACACATGATATGGTACCTTGGGCTTCTGGCATGCCTTACTAGAGAGAAACTAGTATAAAGTAAGATCATATATAACAGTAGAAAAATATTTGTGATTTTTTTCTTTTTTAAAAACTGTTTGTAGATACCCACCCCATTCCCACCCATGGCCAAAATGTAAAATAATTACATCCCTTAGGTATATACTTTCCCTTTTGTTTGGGGCAACAGTTAAGATAAACTAATCCACATATATAATTTTAAGAGTTAAAAACTCATCACCCATAATCATTAAGAATGCTAAGGAATGGCAATACCTTGAAGCTTTTTTTTTAAATTAAAAAACAAAGCTTTAGATGGTAAACTACACTTACAAAAACACAAACTAAAATCCTTATCCTTATGCCCTTGCTTTGTATTTAAAAGTTCTATTTTAAATACTTGTTTTAAAGACTCAGTATACAGTTCATTCAGTACTATAGTGATAATATGAGTAAAGATGTTCACTTCCATTAGATATTGAACTAATCTACTTAGAGAGGACTATTATAGCGACTCTCTTCTCATATACGTTTACATATACTGTACTCATGATATGTGCTCTACAGAGGTTTTCTTGAGGTCTGCACCTCTGAACTTAAATCTCTAAATTTTCCTTTCCACTAATCTCTATTCAAAATGTCATATACTTTGCTAGTTGCTCTGGGAGAAGTCATGGACAATTAAACAGCTTATCATGCAGTTCAAGGTTATATGGCAAAATAATGAGGAAAGTGCCTTAAGAGGTAGGAAGTAGGCTCTCATCCCAACCCTTGGTATGCCCTGTTATGAACAGTTAAAAGACTGGAATCAAAGTGGTAAATGTGAGACTGATAGTAATATCAGGCTTAAGAAAATTAAGTTGACTTAGTTACTAGAATTCTTTGAGAACACTCAGTCACATTGGAACCAGTTACAAGTCATTTGATCACACAGAATACAGCAGTGTCAAAAACACATAAAGCACACTGTAGACACAAATTCTTCTTGGCCATCCATATTTGGGTATTATCATTCTGTAGATTCTTCATTGAAAAAAGTGGTTAAGTGTGGCTCTGTAGTATACCACAGTCCCAAGAAAGTGAATTTCATTCCTTCATTAATTGGTCTCCACCAATGGTCACTTGGGGAGACCAGCAATATGTAAGCAACCTGGGGTTGAAAAGAGGACTATTTTCATTAACTGACATAAAAATACTAAGTCAACTTATCTGTGGATTAAATAAGGCTCAAAGTATATATCCAGTTTAAAGTTAGTCACATGGATTTGGGCCTTTCAGAGGGACAGAACTCTAGGACTAGATTGGAACCTCCTGGTTTAAGCACCAAGGTCAGCCATGGAATCCATAGTATTTGTTAATCAGAGAAAATAGACTCTTTCTGAACCTTTACATTCCTGAGCTATCTGTCCTAATGCCCTAAGTCTCAAATGTTCAATACCACATCGTAAGGTAGAATTTTCTCTGTAAAACACAGTAAAGCAAGTTGAAAAATTTTAGGTCATTTATAAAGGCCAGGAAATAGAGATCGTCAAAGCCACATTGAGATGTGTATTACTGGCCTTCATGGTGATTAAGCACATCTGTACCAAGGCCCCCAAATCTTGAATGTTTTTCTGCTAACTCTCATCCCAGGCTGGGCCTACCCCAGTCCTTTTCCTATCAAACACATTCTGCCTTCTCCTGAAGCCTTTGCACCGACCTGCTCTGTTCAAATCTTTCCTGGGCTGAGGGTGCAGGGCACAGCTAACTGGACAGCCCCACCTTCCATGATGTCCCCTGGCCCCAATAGCAGCCACTTCTTAAAACTAGATGGGAAATGATTGACCCAAACCCGCTCTTTGGAGCGCACTGCATGTGAAATATGGAAACTCCACCACACACACACACACACACACACACACACACACACACACACACCACTCTCTCTCTCCAGACACTCACAAGTGACTTTTCCCACACACCAGCCTCACAGCATCTTGACTTTGTGCCTTGTTGAAATTATTACATTTTTGAACTTTTGGGGTTCCTTGTGAATAAATGCATCCATGTCAAATCTATTAAAGTCAAGGGTCTACTGTACTTAGAAGACATCTCCATAAACCAGAGGAGCTGAAATGATTTATAAAAAGCAAAAATAAAAAAGGGCAAAAAACTTACCTTAACATTGTCACTCGAAAGGGAAGATAACAAAACACATGGTAGTGTAATTCATACTTTCCAGTATGTGCTTGGCAATGTTAAATTCAATCTATCATTTTGGATATTACTTTGGATTATAAACTAAGAGGAGGCCTGATAGTTTAGTTCCTTCTTTCACAGTGAAGTATCTTTAAGACTGGATTGACACCTCTTACTTAGGAGAAGCCCCAGTAACTGGCAGCACTAACTGGTGAAAGGCAGAAGCCTTCAGAGGCCTCAATACCACAATTGTAGAGGCCTGGAAGAACTGGACTTTGAGAGGTTAATCCAGCACAAGTACTACATTTAGAGCACATTGTTGGTCAAGTTTGTCCACTGTATGTTGAAAGCAATGAGAACACCAGGACTACAGATGAAATTATGCTCATAACTGCTTTTTAGGTAGCATGCCTTCAGTTTTGTGAATATCTATCTTGCTCTTCTCCAACAAAACTGGCAGCTTGACTAGGCAAAGGCAGCAATTATTTTTGAAGGAAAGAAACTTGGCATTATATACAGTAGAGGACTGCCCCAAGAAATATGTAGTTTTTGAACTAAGCCACTAGTCAGGTGATAATATGAAGGAAAGGCAGCATGGTGTTATGAGAAAGAAAAAAAAAAAAACCCTACATGAGAAGTTAAGGATTCTAGACTTTGATTTGGGTCTTGAGTTCTTTACATGCAATATGAGAAAGCTGGACCAGGTAATTTATAAGGATTTATATATTTACTTCTCGTTCCAAAGACTATGATGGACAATATACCTAAGCAATACGGAGTAGCATCAGTGTCAAAAATCTGAAAATAAATATTTTTTTCCTGCTAAGAGTTACGTTACATTTTAAAAGTGACAAGAATTGGGGATGCCCATGCTTTGAAACACTGAACAGAGGAGGAAAAAAAGCTTTCTTTCCTGGCAATGGAAAGCAGTTTTTAATAGTATCCATATACTCAAGAACTTTAAAAAGCTTCCTCTATCTAGATCTTCGGATATCTCTTCTATATATTTTTCATTTAGAAGATAAATTTACATTTGATGTCTATGCAATCAACATTTTCTGTTACTTGGGCAAAAGGAATGTTATAGATTTCCCGTTTCTCTTTAATTGCATAGAGCAGAAATTAAAGAATGACATGTGACTTTCAAGACATTTAGATAAACCACACTCTCTTGGCTTCATACTCATAGGGGAAAATTTTTCTGGCAGGAAAAAAGATTTCTGATATAAATGGCTTAGTATATGACTAACAAAGATCTGTTTGGGCACATTCTTGATGAGGTAAGTTAAACCACTTTTTCCTTACTCATGTCTTTTATATTACATATTGACGTATGCTAGGTAGCTTGGCAAAGATATAGATAATAATGGGTACAGAAGTTTCTTTCATCAAATAAAATTGGGGAAACTACCAAATTAGATGTAGATAATGAATACTGCAATCTAAGCAGACCCAGTGTCCATTATGAAAACTGATCATTTCTGCAGTCAAAGGAAGTACTATATGGCTATAAATCATGAGGGATTCAGAAAACACTCAATGCTGAACGTTCACTTAGCCTACCTTAGCTATGATTTCAGGTTAGAACAGATATTGTTTGAGAAGAATGTTTTATTCCCTAGAACAAGAACTTTTAAATCCAATTTCATATAGAGGCCTGTGGCCTTTATTACATTCAAATTAGTGTTTAATATAGAATATCTATTTAAACATGAAATATCCAATAGGACTTCAACTACCTGTTGCTAAGTTTTCCTTCACCAATCTCTTTACCATGACTCTTAAAGGCCTTTGATGTATATTGGCAAAATCCCAAATGATATGCCAAATACTAAATATGGATGCTATGCAAGATTGAAAATGCAAGGACTACTTCCTTAATTCAGGAAAAAAGAACCCTAAGGAGTTGCAAAGTATATGGAGTAACTTCATAGGTGTATTCTTGATTTCACGCCATACACGTATCACTTTCTTTATCATAACAGCTCTCTAGGTTAGTCTGACAGAGCACCTGACTTTAAGAAACAAATGAACGATCCAGCGAAACAGACATGGGGAAAGATATGTACATTTTGAAAGAATTACATTCAACAGCTGTTCCACAATCTGGCCATTTTTAGGGCTGTCCAACAATACTGTTAATCCAAGTGAACTATTTAACCAGATTTAATAGTCAATTGATTAATAATAATAGATTCCAAGTTAAACAAGGCATGTATACATTAAAGAAAGCAGTACAGAAATGTACTGTATATGAACTGTTTACAAAAACATACAAAATGTTGGATGGCACAAGGGATACAGTGCTAATATAAACGGATTGTTTAAGCTAAGTGCTTAACATAAACTGTCCATCCCTATAACTAACAAAGAATATTTAAGGGACATGAAATATTTCCTATAAAAATAATGCTATATGGTGTAGAGTACTTTATTCAGTGTATTTTTAGGTGGTATTCATATGTTCATTATTTTTCTTGTTGATTCAGTGAATATATCTTCATCATGTTTCCATTTTCATTTCATCCGAAGCTCCAGGAAAATCTAACTTGCTAACAATCATTTAAAGCGAGAAGAGACGAAAGCAGGAGCAGCAGCAGGAGCAGCAGCATTATGGGTACCAGCTGGGACAGTGTGTGCTTGCAGGTGTCTCTCAGATATGTGCTACCTGTCACCAGAACTTGTGCTATCAGCTTACACCATGGTACCAAGTATCTCACTGAGGTCACTTCACAGGGCTGTAGAGGTGATTTTTTTAATACCTCTCCGCTGAGCAAGAGTAGAGCGGCCTACTGGTTCCAAAACTGGTGACTGATTACGGTTTAAAGCAGAATATGTAGCTGCCATGGCACCCTGAAAAAAGGAAAGAAAGGTGGTAACAAAAATGACAATGGATAGTAATCTGCACACAAATATGAAATGAAGGGTTTTTTTCAGATGCAATGTTATAGATTTTATGAGGTTCACAATGAATATCACCACCACACTGGTCAAACTCTCTGATTTAACTAAACTGGAGAGCTCAGTGTGGGAAGTTGAAATTATTCATGAGAGAGGTCAGGGATGGGCTCATTAAAAAGCAAGCAGTCCTCACTTTTCTCAGGATTATTCAACTTTTTTTTCCTTACACTTCTTTAACATGAGAGGCAGCAAGGCACACTCTTCAAGTTAGGACATCATAAGCTTATCTGTCCTTACTGATAGTGAATATCTTCTTATGCAGACTGAGAGAAATTTGAAAGTTGCTCTTAAACTAGTTTTATTACTGATATTTTGACATGTTTTGGTTTTTTCCTAACTCACTCACTCTAAGAGAACCCCACACCAGAACTGGATGCAGGCTGAAGGGGAAAGGTGCTGGGGGCACAGAGAGGGTTTCTTGGAGCCTCTCTTGGAGGATGTGCAGAAAATAGTGACTGAATGGGGCCACTCACCTTTACTAGATGCGGTGCGTCCTGCCTGTTTAGTTGGTATTGCGGCAGTTGGTCCCAGTGGACAATCCAAGGATGTCTGAGCACAAGAGCAGCAGTCAGTCTCTGATGAGGGTCTACATGAAGCATCTTTGAGACCAGGTCCTGCCATGGGAAGAATAATAATAAAACAAGCTTAAACTTTTTTTTTTTTTGCTTCTTGATAATGGCGAGCATTGGTCCTTAGCTTCCATGACACTTTTTTCCGGTAGCAGCCCTGTGGGCTCAAAGCAATTTGTCTACACGACAGTTTGGACCAAAAAAATACCCCAGTCTGTTTTTTCGCCCTTGAGTAATAGTAATTTCAGTGTATTACAAAGTGTCAATTTACCACATTTTATGTATCTTTAAGTACTGTGGCTCTTTTTTTCCTTTGGTATTCCAAGTTTCCTATACTTCTGTAGGTTTATTTTTAAGTAATGTTCAGGTTTTAAGATTTTTTTTGTGCTGCTGGGAAGATTGAAAAGCAGAACATAAATGTCCAACAATGGGAATTTAATTGGAGGGCTCTAAATGCCCCTGCAAAAGATTATAGAGTTCTTTTTATTTTTTTTTCTACTTCATAAGCAACTTATGGGCATTACTAAAAACTCAGAAAATACAGAGAAGTAATAGCACATGAAGAACACCCATAATTCCACTCTTCTAGAGACAATCACTGTTAATACTGTCTATCCAAACACCCTTCTTATGCATGGAATATAGATGCATACAATCGCTATAGGGTTTTACACTCTTCAAAATGATAACACAATTGTCATTTATTTTATTTTAAATTTTTAATTATTAATAGGGTACATAATAGTTGTATATATTTATGGGGCACAACTATCATTTATAAAAGCCATCAACCATTTGTGTAATTCTTCACTCGAAATTTATCTATGAATATGCATTAAAGGCCAGGCATTCTGCCAGGCATTGGATAGTTAGCAGTGAATACAACAGAAATTGAACTCTGGCCTCATGAAGCTTTCAGTCTAGTGAGGAAGAGAAAAAAAAAAAAAAGAATCAATCACAAAGCAAGTAAGCAGTTCTTTGACAGGATGAACAAATACTAGGTGCAGCTAGAGGAACATAACGAGACACCTGACCTGAACTGGGTGGGGTGGCTTAAAAGTGACTTCTTAAGAGGCATGTGAGACCTGATGGATAAGCAGGAGCTGGATTAGAGAAGAGAACAGGGAAACAGCATTTTACGTACAGTAGACAGAAGAGAGTGCATGTGGAGGAAGACCTCAGGTGTGAGAGAAGATGTCACAGTTAAAGAACCGACAGGAATGCAACGTGGCTGCAGCATAAATTTATTGTCAAGGAGAATGCAGCAGCGGATAAAGTGGGAGAGGTGAGAAAGAACCAGACCAGAAAGGCCCTTGTAAGCCATATTAGCAAATGTGGACTTATTCTGAAGGCAATAAAGCATTTAACACATAAACTGCCATGTGAGTTAACTCATGCTAGTTTTGAGCCCAGGGCCTTGTGAAGCATATATAACTCTCATGTCTCTTCACTATGGGAGCTGCATGAACTATTTTTCAAGTTGCATATAACTCATGCACAGAAAACAATAAAAAATAACATTAGAAAGGATCGTTTTGTTTTCAAAGTTTTTATTCTATTTTAGTAATAAAACACCATGGCTCCAAGCGAAAAAAATCTTTTCTAGTGTGGCAGTCAATCTGTTAAAGTAAGGGAGTGATGTCAAGTAGAGAAATCACACCCACTAAGTGTAGAGGAAAAATGGATTTGTTGTCAAGCAGAGAAATCATATCCACTAAGTGTAGAGGAAAATGGATTTGTGGGGACAAGCCTGGAGACTCCAATTTACAGACTGGTGAAAGATGACAGTTTCGGGGAGGGGTATAAAAGAGTGAGAAATGCATGGAATTGAGGTATTCAGGAGAAAGAACTGACAGAATCTGGTGGTTGACTAGATATTGGGAATTGGGGTAATGTTGTTCCAAGCACTCCTCTGCTATTAGACATTTACAGTTTCTTACTTTTAGTTATCATTAACAGCTAAGAACATGAATGAGCTACTAAATAGAACTAGAAGTTAAAAAGCTAAAAAAATTAGGAAGCTCCCCTTTAAAATTCTGAAAATGGGCAAAAGTGCTTAAAATGCATAAAAGGTTGTAAAATTTCACAGGGCTATGACAAAACTCTATTATAATTTTAATAAAATCTGTGTGTTAACCAATGCACTTTTGGCCAAGTCACTTGGAACTACTTCTCCTTTTATAGTTATTCCTTTAATGGTGGTACTTCCCCCAACTCCTTCCCTGGCTCTCTTACCACTCTGCTCAGATAATCTCATTCATACTCATGACTTTAGCTACTATGGATGATAACAAGTCTTAACTTCAAGCTTCACCTCAGACTTCTCACCTAAATCCTATACCCATATAGCCAGTTGCCTAATGGACATACATCTCCTAATTATATCACTTAAGCATTTCAAATTTATAATGTCCAAATCTGTAACCATTGCTCCTTCCCAAACTACTTTTGTATTCTACATCTCTCTGAACGACACCATGCCATGCCCATTTGCCTGAAGTAGAAATAGGGACTGTATGCTTGATACCTGCTTCTCTCTCATTTCTTTTGTGTCTAATAAACCACTATGTTTATTCTGCCTCCTAAATTTATCTTCCACTTGGCTCAAATTCCATTACAACTGCTCTAGTTTAGGTTCTTATCATTCCTGACCTGAAATATTGCAAAACCTTACAAGTAATGTTCCTAATATTAGGTCAGTGAGGACTGAATGAAACAATGTAGGTAAAAGTGTTAGCACAGTCCTTGGCATGTAAATGTTCAGTAAATGGCAGCTACGGTCCTGTTCTTCTCAAAGCTACATTTGACATGTATGGCCCACATGACCAATAATATTCACATGTGTAACTTGCTCTTTGGGGGACATACCCAGATTGATAGAGCTCTCCTTTCCATTTTGTGGCTAGCCCTGGTATTGTGTCATGCTTGTAATCACAAGTCTTAACTATACATATTAGCAAAAGTTGCTATTAATAACATGGAATTTATAAGACAGGCTGTGAGTTGGATGTAATTTTTTGTGCTCTATTTGCATCTCCATCCTCACTCATCCCTTTCTCACCAAAAAAAGCATATTGGGATGCAAGTGAATGAGAATAAAATTATAGAGATAATCTCGATTTGCGTTATTAAAAAACAAGTATTATATAAGCTGTGATACTTTATTATTAGTAACATTACTTAATATGCCTTATAACTGTTCATTACTAAGTTTATGGCAGACTCTATGGATGAGAATCACTGCTCCATGGAGTACACTTTAAAAAGGAAAGTCTGATCACTGAACTGCTTAATGTTTTAACAGTTCCACAATACCCAGAGTAAGCCCACAATCCTCAGCATGAGCTACAAAGCCTTTCACAATCTGGTTTCATCAGCTACCCTTTCCTGTGCACCCTGCACTAGTCACATGGAAGGACCCGCCTAGAGGCATTCTGCTACTCTCATGCTATCATCACCACCTATATACATGTGCTACTCGCTCAGCTTGGGATAAACTACATCCTTCTGCTCCCTAAATCTGCTTGGCAAACTCCTTCACTGCTTCTGGAAAGCTGTGAGGTTCCTGAGATCAGGAATTCTATGTTTGTCACATCTTTAATCTCTAGGGCCTTCGTGTATTAAGTGCTCAACAAGGGAAGTACAAAGAAAGCAGGTACCCAGAAAAATGAGTTATCTGGTTTAAGAAATTTTATTGTTAGAAAAAGGTAAAGACTAACATTTCATTCGAAATGCAGTTATAAAACCAAATATTATCTACACAGACATTAAACTGGTCAACTTAAGCTTCATGCTCTATGCCAATAGAATCTATATACATTTTTGACGTGTTCTATTTACTTATACAATCACTTCAACTAAGCTTCCACCCTTAAGAAAAATCAGTAAGCATTTTTACTAGTATGTATCTTCTTTCTATCCTTTATGTTTTTCTTATTTTGAAGTGGAAAACTGTACTTTTTTTAAAAAAAGAATTTTCTATGAATAAAGTAAAAGTAGAGCAGAGTTGGAAAGCAAGTCAGTGCTATTCAGGGGATGGCAGATCTTCCAGTGAGAAGGGCTCTTCAAATTGATTTCAAGCAGATGCTATAAAACTATGTCCCTGTTTATTGTGAAAAAGATAAGATCTCTTTCTTTATGACATAAGTCAAAAATAGAACATGGTGTAATTATTCTAGAGAATGAGGCTTTTGAAATCAGATATTTAGTTTGAAGCACCCACATGTATCTGGTATGTTACCATGGACAAGTTCATACTGAAATTCTGGGCCCTGGTTTCTTTCTGTGAAATGTAGATACTACCACCTATTTCATAGGGTATTATGAGGATACATAAGCTAATTTAGGTAAAGTGCAGTGTGAGGCACACAACAGACAGACAAATCATGAAGACTATCACTATTATTATTCATCATGTTTGCCAGTAAGAAATAGCTTTAGATGTAGATAGATAATAAGGCCAAACCAATGTCATCTAGGAAAGAAACAAAATAATTGGTCTATTTTCAAATTCAAGTTATTTGGTAACGTGACTTTGACATACTAATTTTTAAACAAAAGTTTCCGATACTATTTCTTCTCACTATGGATTATGAAAAATTATTTTTTCAAGAGCTAGTAATTGGAAGCCATTCTTACCTTTGCTGTGTCTGAAACAGAATTCCAGTAACCACCACTGAGTGAGAATTTTCCACTACCTATTCGTGCCAATATTTCCTCTGGTGTATCATCAGGACCATTTGCAAATGGAGTGTAACTAATTTATAAGAAAATTAAAATGTTAGTGAACAAAATTTCTTATTTAGTTGTTAATCTTTATATTTATTCACACTGTCCAAAAGTACTCCCAGTAATTTAGTATATGTAATGCTTTATTCAAATTTACCAAAGAAAAAAAAATCAATAAAATGAAGCTCCATAAAGCACCGGGTCAAGGTTTCGGTTATAAAACATTAGACTTAATATACAATAATATAAATATTTTAAGATATGACACATGATAGAATAAAGTATTAAAAACTACTGTGTTTTTGTTATATGAGTATAAAAAAAGGCATGGAAAAAATCAATTTAAGACTTCAAGACATTAATAACTATTACATTATAAAAAATTCAGTAATGATATAGCTATAAATGTGGAATACTGGATTGTATATATTAGACAGATAAGAAAACATAGAAAGATATGACAACATATGGATTAAGAAAAATACCTAGATAATTTCAGCAAAATATTGACGAATAAATGCTTACAACATATGGTACATACTCACCCAGTAAGCATTGTATAGAGGAGGACACCAAGACTCCATATATCACAAGCAGCATCATAGCCTTGTCGCTTCAAAACCTAGAAAAAAGTGAAAAATTAGTATTACCACACCATTGTCTTTTATGCTTATTTTGATAGGCTGTGAACTGAACTCTATCTCTCAAATCAAATGCCTATAAGAAACACTTCGATAGAATATGAATAACAAATAAGTCAATATAGCTGAGCATGGAGACTCACTCCTGTAATCTAGCACTCTGGGAGGCTGAGGCGGGCGGATAGTTTGAGCTCAGGGGTTCAAGACCAGCCTGAGCAAGAGCGAGACCCTGTCTCTACTAAAAATATAAAAAATTAACTGGGCATGGTGGCGCATGCCTGTAGTCTCGGCTACTCAGAGGCTGGGACAGAAGGATTGCTTGAGCCCAGGAGTACGAGCTTGCCGTGAGCCAGGCTAATACCACGGCACTCTACCCCAGGCAACAGAGTGAGACTCTGTCTCTAAAAAAAAAAAAAAAAAAAAAAAAGAATGGATATTTAGAAAAAAAGAAAAAATAAGGCAATATATTAATCTTATCCTAGAACATTCTACTACTAATTCACGTATATAAATATTTAATTTTGGTATTTAAATGAATATTTAGTGAGTATTGTAGGCAAACAGAGGAATATAAAACAAATGAAGTTTATTTTAATGAATTTATATTTTGCACAGGGCTACAGAAATGGTTACAAAAAAATGTTTGTTTGTTTTTTTTGAGACAGAGCCTCTGTTGTCCGGGCTAGAGTGCCGTGGCATCGGCCTACCGTGCCGTGGCATCGTCTTAGCTCACAGCAACCTCAAACTCCTGGGTTCAAGCAATCCTTCTGCCTCAGCCTCCCGCGTAGCTGGGACTACAGGCATGCGCCACTGTGCTCGGCTAATTTTTTCTATATATTTTTAGTTTGCCAATTAATTTATTTCTATTTTTAGTAGAGACAGGGTCTCGCTCTTGCTCAGGCTGGTTTCGAACTCCTGACCTTGAGTGATCCTCCCGCCTCGGCCTCTCAGAGTGCTAGGATTACAGGCATGAGCCACCACGCCCGGCCTTGGAAAACAATATTTTTAAGAACAAACACAACCTAGCACAAATGATATAGTGCAAAATAGTACTTTTACATATCTAATTTGATTCGCTCAGGCATTTAACAATAACCAAGTAATATCAAATATGAGCTATGATAGATACAAAAAACCCCTAATTTCCTTAAAAAAATCAGAAGCTGGCAGGGGAAATAAACATAGAAATAGTTAACAATTCAACATAAGTATTGTAACAAAATTATGTCTGAAGTGCTATGGGTATAAAAATGAGGAGGCAATTTATTCTTGATATGGGGAGAGATGGAAGGATAGAGACTGGCTCGCTTATATTGGACCTATAAGTAAGAGTTTAGTAGGCAAAGGGAGGAGGTAGGGGAAGGCAGAGGACATTCAAAGGGCAGAGGCAAGAGAGCACAGCAGGCTTAGTGATAGGCAAGAAGTTCAGTGTGGCCAGAACTTAAAGTATGAAATACTAGAGAGATTGAAGGGCTTTTATGATATCTTGTGAAGTAATTTAGATTCTTCTCCTGTAGGCAATCAGATGTCATTGAAGCATTAAACAGGAAAATAAAGGGCAGGCATTTTATCCTAATTATTTGTTCAGTAAGTCTTCAATTAAATCATGTTATAAACTATTTTATATAAAATGTAGCAAATGAATTTTTAATCATACTGAAATGCTGCAAGTAAACTCTCACAATTACCTCTGGTGCAACAAAATTTGCAGTATAACAAGGAGTCATGAGAAGACCGTTTTCTGCTCTCAGCTGTTTTGCAAAGCCAAAATCACAAATTCGAATAGATTCTGGATTACCGGATTCATCCACATAAAGAATGTTGCTAGGTTTCAAGTCTCTGTGAACCACCTAATTGAAATACAAATTAAAGAGTTAACATTAACAATACATTTCCATTACCGAAAGTTCTTTATTCACAAACTGTCAGGCAATGCACTTAACAAGATGATGAGTGCTGACCTTAAGTTATCCCAACATTATAAAATGCTGGTAATGTAAAGTGTAATTCTCTAACATAGACCTGGAGTAAGGAGGAGGAGGAAGAAAGAATAGCATTTACCTTCCCCCTCTTTGTCCAATTGAGTAATAGGCTTAAGGAGAAATGCAAAGAGCAATAATCTCTCCCTCCACATTATCCACTCATCTAACAATATTTACTAAGTGCCTATCATGTGCCAGGGTATTATATAAGAAGGTGAAGATAGTGTGATGATCAAGATCCATTAGATCCTGGCCTTTCCATGCTAGGAGCTTACATAGTAGGTGGGGAGGTAGAGAATGGACAGATTGAGAGATGAGGCAAAACTAGGGAGGTCAATTTAAATAGTGTGGTCAGGGAGGATCTCTAAAGGAGGTAACATGTGATCCAAGAATGAAGAACAGAATGAAGAAGCCATAAGAACAGTGTGGGAAGGTCATTCTCAGTAGAGGGAACAGCATGTACAAGGCATACACACAACAAATATGAGTTGACAGACTAAATGGAAGACATGGCATTAAGGAATAAAAAGGAAAAATTAATTCCGGACTTTGTTTTAGGTGTTGCCTATTTGATATACAAGTGAAGATGTCAAACACACAAAAAGATACCTTTTTAAGAGAGTTTGATATTATTTTCCTCCTTTAATGATCTACTTGAATACAGCAGTCCCCCCTTATCTGTGGAGGATATGTTCCAAGATCCCCAGTGAATGCCTGAAACTGAGGATAGTATCGAATTCTACATACACTATGTTTTTTCCTATACATACCTATGGTTTAATTTATAAATTAGGTACAATAAGAGATTAACGAGGACTAATAGTAAATTAGAATAGTAAAAGATTCTAAGTCTATATTCCAATCAATCAAGTTATAGTTCCTAACATCCAGCACATTACTTTTCCATTATTTCTCCTAAAATAGTTTTCCAGACTATTTTAAGGGCTAATTACTGATGAAGTATTGGGAAAAAAACATAGAAGACGACTGACTGCATAAATTCTTCAGTGAATACTGAGTTCTACTAATTTCAAGGTACAATATTAGGCAAATCTTGACAAGGCAGACAGTCAGGAAGCTCTAGAATGACCACATTTCTCTTTCTTCTTACCAAGTTGTGATTTGACAGAATTAATACATTCTATTTGTTGGCTTTTAGGGCAAAGACAAGCTGAGAAGAATGCACTGAAATTGAACTTCTTAAGATTACCTATCTTAAGAAGTAATCAAAACATCATGTTGTATACCATAAATATATCTAATTTTTATTTGTCCACTAAAAGAAATTTTTAAAAAGAAGCAATGCTTCCTAATACTCTGGGAGGCAGAGGGGGGAGGATCACTCAAGGTCAGGAGTTCAAGACCAGCCTGAGCAAGAGTGAGACCCTGTCTCCATTAAAAATAGAAAGAAATTAGCTGGACAACTAAAACATATATAGAAAAAATTAGCCAAGCATGGTGGCACATGCCTATAGTCCCAGCTGCTCAGGAGGCTGAGGCAGGAGGATTGCTAGAAACCAGGAGGTTTGAGGTTGCTGTGAGCTAGGCTGATGCCATGTCACTCACTCTAGCCCGGGCAACAGAGTGAGACTCTATTTAAAAAAAAAAAAAAAGCAACCTTTTACTTTTTTTCTGGCTTTCCATCCCTCTTTACCCCTCTGCTGTTCAACTTTCTTCCCTCTCACACCCCTCATTTTCTCCTTTCTCCCCTTTCCATCCCAGACTTCCCCTCTTTTAAAAATATTCTTTTGCTGTTTACTAAAAATCTGTTTGCAGGAAGAAATGAAGAAAGCATCTACCAGCCAGAAGCCAGGTGACTACTTGGCCTCATTTGTTTTAAGGATTTCCTTTTATATGTGAATACAGGATTCCCTGGTTCTGCTTCTAACTTGAAGTGGGCCTGGTTTTCAAGGGTACAAGGTGACGTAGCAGAAGTGATATTATGTTTTCCAGGTCAGAAGATCTCACTCACTTTTTCTTGGAAAGCCTAAGAGTATAATATAAATAAGCTAGAATTTCAAGGTAGCACTTCAAGCTCAATGGGAAAAGTTTATGTAGGGGAGGATGGGTAAGATAATTAACACAATGACTGCCGCACTAGAAAAAAAATTTTTTTTCCTTGGGGCCATGGTGTTTTATTATGAAAATAGAATAAAAATTTCAAAAACAAGACGATCCCTTCTAATTTAATGAAAAATTTGTTATTTTTTATTGTTTTCTGTACATGAGATATATACAATGAAATCCATGTTTTTAGAATTAAATTGTCAATATTAATTGTAACAATAAAAACAAATCAACAATATTTTCACGAATCAACTGCAGGATTTTGCTTCACGAGGCCCTCGGCTCAAACTAGCGTGAGTTAATACAACTCACATGGCAGTGAATGTGTTAAGCTAATAGTAGTTATTCTTCATTACATGCATAAAGTAACTTTTACCTCTACCTTTGTAAGTTTAGCTTAAACATTGAGAAAGAAAAAGGAAAAAAGTATGCACACACACATATATATTAAATGTTAAAAAGACTTACCCCTTGTGCATGAAGATATTCAACAGTTTTGGTTATAGTGAACAGGACAGCACTGGCCTCTCGTTCAGAGAAAAACTTCTGTCTCAGAATTTTATCCAGTAATTCACCCCCTTTCATAAGTTCTGTTACTACATACACATATTTTCCATCATCATATACCTATAAAATTCAACATCAAAATGTAAAAACTTATTTGAAGCTTTACGTGTGTCCAAAACAAAGTTTAGCATATTAAAGAGAAATTAAAATTTATTTTATACTGATGAAAAATTTTACTTGTCACAACCAATGGAGGATATAAAATTTTCAATTTTATACATGGAAGGATATTAAAATAGGAATTGATGGGATTGAATATCAGAAAAATATCCAGTAATTTCCTTCTGTGATATTTAATTCAGAGCAATCGAAGTCATAGTATATGAAGGGGCATTGAACTTTTGCTCTTAGGATTTGTTCCTCTTCTTGATCTTTTTTTTACGTTCCTGTAATTTTCCTGGAATTTCTGCAATAGCAGAACTTCTGTATTTTATATACACAGAATGAATGAATTCTGGTTTTGATTAAATTCAAAGACAAGTTGTAGACAACAATTAAGTAGGAAGATTAAGGAGCAAAGAGAAATCCCATCCAAATACACAGAAGCATACCAGTGAACTCCTAATTTAGAAATAGAAAGCTCACTGATATTTTGGATTTGTACTCCAGGCAATCTCTAACTAAAATAATCTCTTTATTAAACTTCAGTCCTTTTTATTTCCCTCTCACCATAGAGTTACTAAAAACCTTTATTTAGTTCCATAAGAGGTACCAGGTACTGTACAGGTATGTGCCAGGGCCCCAAATATGGAAAGAACAAGGTACCTAGCCTCAAATTTTTTTACTGTAGAAGGGAGAAACAGGCATAAATAAGAGTAAAAAAAGTTTTGCACATGCTGTAATAAAAGTAGGGAAAATTTTAGAGACTTTGCAATTTGAAATGAAGGAAGCAGCAAAGATGTAAAAAAAAATAGTGACAGCTTAGGGAGTTTCCAAGGCAAGGCTCAGAAAGTATTTTCTACACTTCCTTTGTCATTTTCTTGGTTGTATTCTTGGAGATTATGTTACTTAAAGAGTCACTTAAATTAAACAGCTTCACATTTTAATGTGACTAAGTTAACATTCTCCATCTAACAATTAATCTGAAGAAACTGGAGTTTTGACAACACCCAGATATGGCTTTTGCACCTATATGAGCATCCCTTGTGCATGAAGATATTCAACAGCAAGAGAGGACTTAATACTGCATAGGGAGTTCACATCCTTTGCCAATACTCTGCCATAGTAAAAGCTGGGAGAGACACAGGTAGCAGGGTATCATGAGAGCCCAGGGAAAGAATATCTCACTTATCCTTGGGGTGGTGACTGGCAAGGCAGGGCTGGCTTCCCGGAGGAAGTAGTGCCTTAGCAAAATATTAGATGTGTGGTAGTCAGGCAAAGAATAAGGGAAATGGTGTTTACAACCGAGGGAACCATAATTCAAAGAGCAGCATGAGAAAATGAGGCACACTCAAAAAATTGTACATACTAAAGCATGAAGCATAGGGTGTGTGAGGAAGCATGTGTGAAGAAGTAAGAAAACTACCACAGAGGTAGGCAGGGGCTTAAGGGGCTGGGGAGTATGAATTGTAGGCAGGGAGGTTACATGGGTAGATGCGGGCATTAGATCTCTCTGGCAGTAATGTGGAAAACAGTTTGAGGATTCTATGTAGTGTGAGACCAGTCAATCCTGAATATTAGTTAACAATAATATTAATACTGAACATTTGGGTAAATGTTCAAATAAATGCAGACACTAAAAGCAATAATGTCAAAAACACTTTTCTTCTTAAAGCAAAAGTAGAAAAATTAACTATTTAAACATTTTTCTTGAGAAATGAAATTATGCTATATACACTGTTCTCAAGTCTAACTTTCAAACTTACTATATTGAATTGTCTACCATATGATCTTTGAAAATACAGTATTCCAAATGTAAGTTAGACAACTGATTCAAATGATCCATGTTAAAGAATCTACTTACATCCTTTAGAGTAATAATGTTTGGATGCTGTCCATAACGAAGAAGAATTTCAATTTCTTCTGTTGGGTCTCTCTTGCTTTTATCAATAATCTAAAAGGCAGACATTTATCGTAAAATTTCATCAACTATACAGTTATAAACCTTAATTATTTACAGCTACAGATCTTAGGTATTACCATATGTATAATATATACTATATATACTGATAAGGTATTTATCAGTCAGTTTTTTTTTCAAGTTTTTTTTTTTATTTCGGCATATTATGGGGGTACAGATTTTAAGGTTTCAATAAATGCCCATTTCCCCCCCTATCAATCAGTTTTATTCAACTACTTGGCCAGACTATTTAATTAGAGAGCCAGTCTTTTTTTTTTTTTTTTTTTTTCTGACACAGAGTCTTGCTCTGTTGCTAGGGCTAGAGTGTCATGGCATCAGCCTAGCTCACAGCAACCTCAAACTCCTGTGCTCAAGCGATCCTCATGCCTCAGCTTCCCCGGTAGCTGGGACTACAGACATATGCCACCATATCAGGCTAATTTTTTCTATTTTTAGTAGAGATGGGGGTCTCACTCTTGCTCAGGCTGGTCTTGATCTCCTGAGCTCAACTGATCCTCCCACCTCGGCCTCCCAGAGTGCTAAGATTACAGATGTGAACCACTGCGCCCAGCCAGAGCCAGTCTTGATATAGATAGCAAGGCTGTAAATTCTAAGCCATGAGTCACATTCCCACCAGGTCTCTCCAATGTAAGTTTGTAGTAAGTTTAGGACTTATTAAAAATTCAAAAGCCTTGAGAAAAGATACCAAGAACACAGTTAACATATTTCCATCTGTGCATGTCTTAAACATTTGGGAACTCAGTCAACTTCTAACCCCTATCAATAGAGAAAATTAAGAGCTAAATGTATCTATAACACCACCACTGGCATCTGACTTCTTTTAATAAAATGCTTCAATGGAATATCCCATTAGTTGCAAGCTACTTACAAAAATTAATTACCAGTTAAGTAGAACGTGTTTATTTTGAAGCTAGGCAGAAAGCTACACAGAAAGCCACACTAAGAATTTTAGTTGGCTGGAATTAAGTTTAATTATTATAATAAAGCCCTTTAAAATACCAATGTAGCTTTCTAACCCTTTTATGTCAGCTGCTTCTTAAAGATATTTCTCTTAATATTTAATCTGTTAAAGTAATATTATATTTAAAAGACAAATTTTGCTTTCAATTCATTCAAAAGGTGGTCTGAAACAAATTTGCTGGCCTTTGTATATTCAATTTTAAAACAACTTACTAATTAATGTATTGCAATAAATATCCAAACACTCTAGCAACCTAGGAAAGAGGTTAGAACTCTCAGTATGAGCTCAATCTTCTATCTGAAATGGATTTACAGTTGATCCTTTAACAACATGGGTTTGAACTACACAGGTCCACTTATACATGGACTTTCTTCCACTTCTGCCATCTGTGAGATAGCAAGACCAATCCCTCCTCTCCCTCCTCCTCAGCCTACTCAATGTGAGGATGATGAGGCTGAAGACCTTTATGATGATTCACTTCCACTTAATGAACAGTAAATATATGTTCTCTCCCTTAAGATTTTCTTAATAACATTTTCTTTTCTCTACCTTACTTTATTGTAAGAATACAGTATAAAATACATATAACATACAAAATATGTGTTATGTTACCAGTAAGGTTTCTGGTCAACAGTAGGCTATTAGTAGTTGAGTGTTTGGGGAATCAAAACTTTATATGTGGATTTGACTGCATGGGGTCAAGTGCCCCTTGTTCAACAAGTTGACTGTAGTTGTAAAGCAGTTCTATATTTGGAGAACAGGAAAGACAAATATATAGGTGCTCACTGTAATCAACTGCAAATGATAGTGTGGAATTAGGCAAAAGGATAATTTAGAGGAGACGTATATGGAATAGACATGCCAATTCTAGAGATGATTTGGGACTAGTCTTCTGAAAACCAGAATACACTGGGAGGTGTTATTTTCGACAACATTGATCTGTTAATCTGAGCCCAGCTTATATTATATCTATACTTGTGCTTGTGGACTTGTGCTTGTGTTGAGATTGGTTTTATGATTCTAATTTAAGTCACAAGAATCAACAAATAACCTTAGAGATATTCTCAAGGCTTTGGGCATACTGTTTCTGGTTCCTGTAATTCAAAGGGGGCTTCAGGACATTTCTGGGGTTTTTTGATGTGTTTATGGAGGCAAGATACATCCTTAAACTGCCCACCAAATACATTATTCCTTTTTTCTCCTTTTATGTAAGCAATTTGAAAATTTCTATGTATCCCAGATTTTAATAAGAGCAATGAATAGGAGAATAGCAAATTAAATTTATTGCCATGGTTCATCCTTGTATCTAACAGAAAGCCCTACAGACACTGATGACTTTTTAAAGCAATTACATCCAAGTACAGAATAGTGATAATACTTAATGCAATTCTCTCACTAGCTAAACAAGAGCTGCCCATATTTATTACCTAATTCTAAGGCTCAAGATAAGTTGAAACCTTTAGATGTTACTTGAATTGCCTGAGATTAGAGAGCATAGGTTTTTATTCCAAGAAGTGAAAAGGCAGGGACTTCAATATAGTATTTGTTTACTTATAACTGAAGGTTTGAAATTCAAACTTTATCACAGAGTGACGTGCCTTTTTTTTGGCTTAGGAAAGTCTTAGAATATCTGATGAAATTAAAACAGCTAATGGTAAATTTTTATGAGTTTTTGTTCTTTTATTGGTTCCCAGATCCTTTTAGATGTGAAGAAAGGTATGAACATTTTTTGCCAGAAAAAAGGTAAACATACAAATCTTGGCACACAATTTTGAGGAATTTCCTGACGTCCTGATCATAAAATGGGGACTTTCGAGAGTAAAAGGGGTGCTTTAAAAATCATGTGAAGTGCAAACTGGTACTGCCCTAGACAAACTGGATCTTACTTTGAACTCCCAGGGAAATCCATGGTTCTAGATTAAGATCTCTGAAGATAACTAGCCAGATATTTAAATTTACCTTAACTTTTTATAATTAAAGACATTTTTTTACCAAAGAATGTAATTTTTATCTGGTACTCACATGCATGAATAAGAACTGTTCAAGCTGCATTTTAAATTTAAAAATATTTACCTTCACTGCAAACTCCATGTTTGTGGCTTTATGTATACATCTCTTGCAAACAGAGTAGGAGCCAACTCCAATATCTTCTTTTACTTCATATCCATCAGTAAACTGAATACTGTTCCTGTGCAACTGCTACAAACAAAATTATAAATTGATGAAGAGTTCTGTAATGCCTTTAGTGCATTTCATAATAGGGGAATCTGTTACTCAGCATGCATTGTTGATGTTAACTACAAATATAAATGAATATCAGCAAGAATAAAAATGAGTTTTTATAGCACCTATTCTTCTACAAGTACATATTTTAGAAGTGTTTGCAATAAAATGTGCAGTGAGAAATATGCCTTTCAAAAAAGCTTATGTTAACAATATGAACTGAATATGTATAACAGAAAAAGCAGAGCTATTTGCTAAAGAACCTATAACTTTGTGATTTAGCCCCATTCCACTCCCCAACCAGCTATAGGTTTTTGAAGCACCTTTGCAAATGAGGAGTAATTGGAAACCTCTGGTATAGAAGGAAAAGATTTAGGAGGATTTCAGTATTAGAACATCTGGATTCTTGTCTCAGATGCACTACTTACAGGCCATGTAACTTTGAGCCTGTGTTTTCTCAGCGGGTAATGGTGAAGATTAAATAAAAACAATGTATACATTGCAAGCATTATCTGTTATCATTTTGGACTTTTAGTAGCCATGCCCTCCTTTCTTCACCCTCAAGTCACAGCTTTATACAACTTCTGCTAAAGAAGCTGTTCAAGGGTTAGGGAGTAATAACATATGATAGATGATGAAGAGAAAATTACTGGTTCTATAAACAGGCTGAGGTAAGTTGTGTTGCCCCTGGGTATACTGATATGAGATCGCCATGCCTATGAGCTTGGAAGGGGTTAAAACTTGAATTCTGTTAGTAAGTTTGTAGTTTCTACGTTAAGCACAGAATTTATAGTTTAAAAACTTGCCATACATTCATGTGCTTGCATAGTAAAAGGGACAGTCTTTTTCAACACAAACTTTGTTTGAAAATCAGAGTTTAAATTGGCTTTCTAGAAAGTGGAAAGCAAGATGATTGACTCATGAAAAAAAACTTTAGAGCAAAAGCAACTTAATCATCAAGCAAATTCAAGCATTAATGATACCCTAAAAACAATTCACTGCTTCAAAAGATATATTTAGTTCCCTCTATAATTACAAATATGAATTAAATTTATCTTTCTATGATATTAGTATGAGAAGAAAGAAATCCAATGGTTTTTACTACTTGTGTTCCTCTAACAATATTTAATTTACCAGTCCAATCTCCTGTTACAAACATATACCCACACCCCCCTAGAAACCTGCTTCTTCTATGGCTTTTACCTACTTTTTCTCCAACTCTGATGAGCAGACGGGATAAAGAGGTAGGGGGCACCCTAAGGCAGTACCCATAACCATTTCTTCCTAATGACGAAAGGGGCTCCAGAAGAACAAGAACACAAAACATGGAAAACTTAAGATTTGAGTTTATTTTTATTTCTTATATCTTTCTAAGGCAGAGGTTGCCACACTATGGCCTGTAAGCCAAACCTGTTTTTGTAAAAAGTATTACTGGACACAGCCATTTGTTTATGTATTATCTAAGGCTGCTTTTGTGTTGCAACAGCAGAGTTGAGTAATTGTGACAGAGATCATATAGCACATAAAGCCTCAAATATTTATTATCTGACTTTTTACAGAGAGTCTGCTAATTCTTGTTCTAAGGCATCAAGGAACCAGGAGACCTCATTTCATCATAGCTGACCTGAGAGAGGCAGGAGATGAAACAAACTAGGCATGATAAACATTTTGAGGCACAGGAAAGAAGAGAGACAAGACAGTGATGTTTGTCTCAACTCTCCTAGAATTCTACTTTCAAGTCACACAGGTATCCAGGATTTTGGTTCTTATAACCTTTTCAATGACATATGGAAGAAATTTCTAAGAGTAACATTAATGATATAAAATGTATTTTAAGCTGCTTCAAGTCAGTAGAAAAAAATCTAATTATTCCCATAATGAACTGTATCTTAAAACATTTCAAATTTAAAATTATTTAGACATCCACTCACCTGAACAATTGAATGTACACCAACTGTCTGCATAGCTTGGCTTTCATCATCTGAGGTAATAGCAACAAAACTAAACCCCCGAAAAAGCTGATGTGCATTAGCACTAGGTGGAATGCCAGGTGAATCTGAAAAGAATAAGAAATTACTAAGAAGATTCCTTTGAAAGGTAATTAAGGAATAAATGTTGACATTATGATTTTTCTCACTTATTCTGGAATTCTACTTCTCTAGTACTCAGTATATACCTCTTGGCTGTTTAGGCTACTTCAGTGAGTCACTGTATCAGATCTGTCCTGATCACTCACTGCCACCACAACTCTAACATCCTAGTCCCTCAGAGCTAGAAAATGGCTAATTCATTTGAAGAATACAATAAATCCATGAATTACTGGGATAATGGTATTTGAAATTAGCACTGTCCCAAAGAACTTCCCGGAATGATGGAAATTTTCTTTACCTGTGCTGTCTAGTATGATAGCACTAGCTACATACAACTACTGAGTATTTGAAATATGCCTCATGTGACTGAGAAACTAAATCTTTAATTTTAATTAATTAAAATTTCATTAGCCACACATGGGATAGTACAGCCCTAAGTGATAACCTAACAACGTTATGCCTCCTTGTTGGGAGGGAGATACAAGTCGAGCTATAGCAAATTCAGGAGATTAGAGGATAACATAAAGAGTTATCCTGAAAAAGATTTTCTGATTGAACAAGAAAAAGAATACACCCATTGTCTTATATATTTAGAGTTTCACATTTTCTCCTTACCTTTGGGAGTTTTTGCAGTAAACTCAGGATCAAAATAGAATGTATCTTCAGGCCTGCCAGTTGCAGGTTTAAAAGGTGGATGAATTTCTCTTCTATACAGTTTCTGGAGGACAAAAAAAAAAAAAAAAAAGACTTAGACATGGGTTAATTATAAAAGTATATTTCAAGTAAGTTTCCATTCTTTACTTACATTCCAGTCTATTGTTGAGAAAAATGAATGTCTTTTGATTTCTTCAACTCCATCTGGTCCTGCACCTATCAAAAATTGATTGATAATTTTATTTCAAGTGAAATGTATATATATTGTTTAGTCTTTGCTTTTAATACTTGTCAAAATATTTAATAATGCCACCACAAAAACAAATATCCACCCCCCCAAAAAAAAAACCAAACACCAACAAACACACACAAGAAGACAAATTAATTAAATTTTTTTTTTACCTAATCTGTTTGCAGGATTTCGTTTGAAAAGCATTCGTAAAAGACTCTGGGCTTCAGGACTCAAAAACTGTGGCATCCCAAGTTTGGCTCTAAACAATAAATCACATAATAATATTTTATTTTTTGGAGGCATCTGTACTTTTATTTTTAATTTTTTTTAATTAATTTTTTTTATTTTGGGATACTTGTAGATTCACATTCAGTTGTAAGACATAATAGAGATCCCCTATGCCATTTACCTAGTTTCCTCCCAATGGTAACATCTTGGTAAACTATAATACAATATCACAACAAGGATGTTGACATTGAGACAATCCACTGATCTCATTTAGATGGCTGTGGTTTTACTTGCACTTATTTGTGTGTTTAGTTCTATGCCATCTTATCACATGTATGGGCTCCTGCATGGATGTGCCAAAATTTGCATATCTATTAATCTGTTGAGGACATCTGGATTGTGTCTAGTTTCGGGCTATGGTGACCAAACTACTGTGAACATTCATGTATAGATTTTTGTGTGAATGCATAATTGAATTTTAGTCCATAATCTTCTAATGACCTTTTTTGTTTTTCAGAATTTTTCAAGAACACTAGTGTGAGAGTAAGATCCTCTGAATCTTAGTTCTGGCTCTGTTACTAAGAACTTTGAGACCTTGTGAAAGTCAACCCCTTTGGGACTGTTACCACTTTTTCATAAACAAGGGGATTGGATGCTAGACCAATGGCTCCCAAACTGTAACTTTGGAACCCTTTCTCAAAAGGAATTTAAGAAACTCAACATTTAAAACTGTTAAGAGAACATGTGCTTCACATGCTACTTTTTCCTTCCCATTCCCTTTAACTGCAGGGAAGGGGAATGGGTGGGAAAGAGGTTTGTGGAATATCAAAGACTCCGTGGCACACAGTCTGAAAACCACTGGCCTGGGTGAGCTTGAAGGTCTGTTTCAGCTCTAATATATAATTTTATTCTTTTTCCAAACCTACAAATTAAAGAAACCAGTGATCCTGTAAGTATGACAATAATAATAGAGCTGGGGAAAATGGCTAGCAGAGAAATTTCTATTTCAGAAATAGATCCATTTATTATTCAGTGAGTTGTTACTGAACTCCTATGTGCCAGACACTGCTAAGTGCTGAGGATATTGAGATAAAGATAGCTCCCCATGGTAAGTGGGAAAGATGGACATAGATATCCTAGTACATTAGGAGACAAATTCGGAAGGACATATGCAAAGAGTGCTAAGGGAACAGTAATTTAATCCCATCTAATTTAACATGGGGGATTGTGAAAGGCCTTAAATTCTATCTAAAGGCTAAATTATTTCGCCAGTGCTCCCTCAAATTTTACTGAATAACATTAATCACTCTAGATACTTAACAAGAACAATAAAAAATATTTCATGGCCAAATAAATTTGTAGAATGCTATCTACTTACTTTTTGGACACAGAATAAAATATACTGCATATAAAAGGCAGAGAAATCTAGAGTAAAGAAGTCAGTATTTTCTAAACATTTGTTTCCAGCACCTCTTTTTCAGAGAATATCTATAACATCTTGTACAATTAGGATTCTGTTGAACAAAACTGAAGAAATACTGCTATATTAAGTAACAGGGATGTAGCATAGGTCTTGAAACAGTGGACTAACATGACCAGATTTATTTTCCAGAAGGTAACTCCAAGGGTATTAGACAATAATGTGGAGTGAAAGAGGTGGTAGGAGCATGGCCCCAAAGTGTACGTAAGACATCACCATGGCCTGAGCACTGTAAACAGTACAATTCAGAGTAAGGGCTGAACAGTGAAATAGTTCTGAGACAAAATTTGGGGAATACTTGGTTATGCAAGAGAGAGTGGAAGAAATCAAGAATGATTTCTAGGTTTCTGGCTTGGAAAGAGGGTACATGGAAATGCTGCTAATTGGAAATATAAGAAGAGGATAAGAACAACAAATAGAGATAAAGTTAGTCTAAAGTCTCATGTATGAGATATGTTTTGGGAGAGCCAGGCAGGTGAGTAAATGGAAATACAGGTCTAATGCCTGGTAAATTCATGTAAGAAAGAGTGATTTGGGAGTAATTAAAATGTTGAGTAGTTATAGGAAAGACTAAGATCAGTCAAGAAATTGAGTGTAGAGAGGAAGAAAAGCCTATCAGAGCTTTAAATGCTCTTCTAGGTAGAAGAGCATTTAAAAGGTTGTCAGAAAAAGAATAATTTGGGCATTAAAAATAATGAATGGAATTAGCTGAATCACACTGATTACCAAATCCCACGAGTTCTTTAAAGTAAAACAAGAAAAAGTAAATTTAAAACATAAAAACTCAAGTCATTGGATACCGCCCCCACTGGAAGTAACTAGGGCTCTGACAATTGGAAACAATTAAGAAAAGAATTAAGTATTTATTCTGTCTTTCTTGGATGAGCCTTATTTCAAGTAACTGGCCCTAGTTGCTGAGGGAAAGTTCACTGTTTCAGAAAATAACAGCTAATAAATGAGGAAGGAATAATAGTAACAGAAAATCACCATTTTTGAATTCCTTATAAAATAATTTTTTCAAGTAATGATTATCAATGGATGAAACCATTAGATCAAAGCCTGACAGGGAATGTACAATGGAGAAATCAGCTGCAACCACTGAAACTTATCACTTAAAGTGGGGGCAACCAAGGCTCCTGGTATAATATAATAGGGAGCACACAGTACAAGCTACAAAATAATCTTGCCAAAAAAGTATAGCCAAAAATTGAACGGGGAGCAAGTTAATAACACAAAGAAAATAAACAAGTTTCCACACTTCTAGGAAAAGAATAATTGTTATGTAACTATGGTAACAAGAGAAGCACCAGAATTGATCTTAAATCCTTTCAGTTGGTTTTAAATCCATTCAACTGGTCAATGACAACTTGCCTGGTGAATACTTTTGCAAACCAACCATTCAGTAACTGCTATTTGTCTCTGATAATTAGCCAAACAGGAATGGACTCAATCCAATAAACATACCTGAGTACCAAATGATCAACAGTCCCACCCAAATAATCACATTCATAATGATGTCAACCCCACTTATGAACCTGAAAACCTGCCAGTTGTTGAACTCCACCATTCCCCAAAACTCTGTGCAAGATCAGTGGTCTACTCTGATTAGACAGACTCTACTGAATCAGCATCTCTCTTCTTTACCATGGTAAGCAATAAAATCAACTTTATGTTTCCACCTGATCCAGATATTGAGAGGTGATCTCTTCCTTTGACAAGATAAATTCAGAAAGCAGAATTCTAGAAAACTGACCTGTTTTCTACAGGTAAATGGCAGGGGGAAAAACAGGGGTAGACTGGTCTAGATTAATAGAAGCTTAAGAAATACAACCAAATGGAGTGTGTAGACTTGATTTGGATCCAACTGTAAAGACATAGTTTTAGAGAAAATCTGAAAAATTTGGCTAAGGATTGGTATTAGATGATACCTAAGCATTATTACTGGTTTTATTAGATGTGGTTATGTAAGAAAATATCCATATTTTTAGCAAGGCAAACTGAATTAAGTAGGTGAGAAATGACATGTCTGGAATGCTTAACGTGTTTCAGTAAAAAAGAAAAAGGAAAAAAGTGATAAACAAAGCAAATATGGCAAAATCTTGATGACTCTTAAATCTGGGTGATGGCAGTATGTGTCTTCATTGTATTATTCTATTTCTGAGAATTTAGATTTATAATTAAAAAAAAAAAAAAAACAAGCCGGATGCGGTGGCTCACGCCTGTAATCCTAGCACTCTGGGAGGCTCGAGGTCAGGAGTTCGAAACCAGCCTGAGCAAGAGTGAGACCCCCGTCTCTACTATAAATAGAAAGAAATTAATTGGCCAACTAATATATATAGAAAAAATTAGCCGGGCATGGTGGCGCATGCCTGTAGTCCCAGCTACTCGGGAGGCTGAGGCAGGAGGATTGCTTGAGCCCAGGAGATTGAGGTTGCTGTGAGCTAGGCTGACGCCACGGCACTCACTCTAGCCTGGTCAACAAGCAAGACTCTGTCTCAAAAAAAAAAAAAAAAAAAAAGAAAAAAGAAAAACAGGCAGAAAGAAATGGTCAAGCAAAAGAGACCAAAAGCGGAATGGCTAGAGAGGCAGAGTAGATGAGAGTAGGAAAAACTAAGGAGGGAGAGAATGGCCAACAATGTCAAATATTTCTCAGAGACCTTCCTTAGTTGTTCTACCTAAAACAGCTCCTTTCCCCTGCGCCTTCCCTCATACATTAAGGGGTCACTATTAGAACACAGTACCTTCGTTTATTATCTGTATAGGTCCTGTTACTATGTGAATTTATTATATTTGTTTAAATATTAATTCCTTCTCTCTCCCACTAGAATGTAACCACTGTGAGACCACTGAAATTCTTCTAAGTCTTATTCACACTGCATCCCAAGTATGCATAGCAAGAACTTGATCATCCGTTAAATGAATTGTGTTAATGAATGGTAAGGAGTCACTTTTCTGACAACCTGCCACTGGTTTTAGCAACCAGAAGACTACAGATAACTATAATGAGAGCAGTTTCAGTAGAGTGGTGGGGATGAATGACAAACAGGCTGTGCAATAAAAGAAGCCAAAAAAGTAGTAACAGAAAGCATAGACTACTCTTTAAAGAGGCTTTGTGTTGAAAGGATGCAGGAAGATGGTGTAGTGACTTGAAAGGAAGGCCAGGTCAAAGAAAGGGTTTGGTTTTTTCAACACTGGAAGTGTTTGTTAGCTGAAAGGAAGGGACCAAAGTAGTTAAGCGATAAAGGTTCAGTAATGAAAGTTCAGTGAACATTCATTTATGCAGCACATATTTTAAAAACTTTATTGTGTAGAATAACATAAAATGCCAAAAAAAGCCCCAAACAAAAAGAAAACACTCAAAGTACACAGTTCAATGATTTACCACAAAGTGAACAGTCATCTAGCCAAGAAATATAACATTGCCAGAACTCCTCATTCAATGTAACCACTTTCCTTATTTTGCCTCGGGCTTTTACCATCTAAATATGGACCCTAAAAACTATGTTTTAGTTTTGCTTGCTTTGTAAACTTTATAAATAGAATCATACAGTATTTATTCTTTTGTGTCTGAACTTCCTTTTCTCAACATTCTTGTGAGATTTATCCAAGTTGTTGCATGTAACTGTGGTTTGTTCATTTTCTTCGCTGTATGGCATACTACGCCCATGGGCCAAAGGCCTCAGACTGTTTTTGTACAGCTCTTGAGTTAAGAACTGTTTTGTGTTTTTAGAGGATTGGAAAAAAAATACAAACAAAGATGATTATGTGACACAGACTGTGTGTGGCCTGCAAAGCCTAAAATATTTACCGATTAGCAAATCCAACAACTGCTGTATTTGACTGCATGAATATATCATAATTTATTAATCTATTCTACTGCTAACAATCCAGTTTCCACTTTTTGGCTATTACAAATAATACTGCTATGAACACCTTTGTAGTTTCTTGATGTGTGAGTATCTATTAAATAGATTCTTATAAATTGGGTACATGCCTAAAAGTGGGATAAGTAGATGGGTGTATACATATATTTGTCTTTAAAAGATAATGACAAAAACTGCCTTATAAAGTAGTTATACAAGCATTTATATTCCTTCCAGCTATGTATGAAAGTTGCCCCTGTTCCACATCATACCAACATTTTGTATTGTCAGTCTTTTTAATTTTAGCCATTCTGGTGAGCATACAGTGATAGCTCATTGTGGTTTTATTTATTTATTTATTTTGAGACAGAGTCTCGCTTTGTTGGCCAGGCTAGAGTGGGTGCCGTGGCACCAGCCTAGCTCACAGCAACCTCCAACTCCTGGGCTCAAGCAATCCTGCTGCCTCAGCCTCCTGAGTAGCTGGCACTACAGGCATGTGCCACCATGCCCAGCTAATTTTTTCTATATGTATTAGTTGGCCAATTAATGTCTTTCTATTTATAGTAGAGACGGGGTCTCGCTTTTGCTCAGGCTGGTTTCAAACTCCTGATCTGGAGCAATCCGCCCGCCTCTGCCTCCCAGAGTGCCAGAATTACAGGCATGAGCCACTGCCCCTGGCCTCATTGTGTTCTTAATTTGCATTTTCTGATTAATGAGGTTGAGCATCTTTTCATACATTTTTTGGCCATTGAATATCCTCTTGTGTGAGATCCCCAAGTCTCTCACCCATGTTTTTGTTGAGTTGACATTTTCTTATTGATTGATTGAAGTTCTAGACACAATGGAGATGATTTTTATGTATGATGTAAGATAGGGATTGTTTTATTTTTTCTATGCAAATATTCAACTTTTCATGCATGATTTATTAAGAAAAGGCTGTTCTGGCCAGGCACGGTGGCTCACTCTTGTAATGCCAGCACTCTGGTAGGCCAAGGTGGGCGGATTGCTCAAGGTCAGGAGTTCGAAACCAGCCTGAGCAAGAGCGAGACCCCGTCTCTACTATAAGTAGAAAGAAATTAATTGGCCAACTAATATATATAGAAAAAATTAGCCGGGCATGGTGGCACATGCCTGTAGTGCCAGCTACTCAGGAGGCTGAGGCAGCAGGATCACTTGAGCCCAGGAGTTTGAGGTTGCTGTGAGCTAGGTTGATGCCATGGCACTCACTCTAGCCTGGGCAACAAAGTGAGACTAAAAAGAAAAGGCTGTTCTTTCTCTACTGCTCTGCAATTCCCAATGGTTGTAAATTAGGTGTCCATATATGTGTAGGTCTGTTTCTGGGCTCTCTGTTCTATCGCACAGGTTTACTTTCCATACTTATTTCAGTGCTGTATTATCCTAATTACAATAAGACTTGATCCCTGGCAAAGCAAATCTTCCTATCTTGTTCTTCTTCAACAGTGTTTTAACTCTACTTGGTCTTTTGTATCATCATATTAGAATCAGTTTATCAAGTCCCACAAAAAAAAGTTGTTAGAATTTTTATTTGATTTGTATTGAAACTATAGTTTTGTCATCCAGTATGGTAGCCACTAGCTACATATGACTACTGAGCACTTGAAATGTGAGCAGTCCAAATTATAAGTGTAAAATACACAGTGAATTTCAAATGAGTATGAAAAAAATAATTTATAATATCTCATTAATCATGTTTTAACACTGGTTACATGTTGAAATAACATCTTGGATATATATGGTTAAATAAAACATTATTACAATTAACTTTAATTGTTTCCCTTTACTTTTTAAATGTAGCTACTAGAAAACAAAATTATGTATGTGACTCACGTTATATTCCTATTGATTTATAGAACCAACATCTTTAAAATGCTGGGTCTGTATTATTGACTTTGTATCTGAACTGCTGTTTATTGACTTTGTACCCAAACTTTGCTAAACTCTAATTAATTCCAAGAATTTATATGACGACTGATTTTTCTATGGACACAGTCATGTGATCTAAATAATGATAATTTTATCTCTTCTTTTAAAATCTTATACTTTATCTTTTTTGCTTGCCTTACCATACTGGCTAGGACCTCCAGGACAATGTGGACAGAAGTAGAATAATGGGCATCCTTGTTAAATTTCAAATCTCAATGGTAAAGCTTTTAGTATTTCACCATTAACATGAAGATAATATGAGTACTCTAAATCCATGTAGCTTGTTCATATTAAAAAATGTAATACTGATGAATTTCTTATACTACAGTCAACACTCTAAAATCTCATTTTTTAGTTTGAAGCATATATTTTAAAATCTCAACAAAACATCTACATCAGGGAGTACTTACTTAAGAATCATAGTCATTGTTTCTTTTCGATCTTTTCCTTGGAAAGGTAGTGTACCAGTGAGCATCTCAAACTACAGAAAGGCAAAATAATCAGCAGTTTTAGCCAATAAGTATAAAATCTTAAGGCCAAAAGATTTAAAGAAGCACCATCTTAATTATAACCAAATCTTCTAAAATTGCTAGATAATAAAACAAGTGATTCATATTTCTACATATTTATTATAGAACTTCTTGATAAGTACTAAGACCACTGAGCTATATACTGCTATTGCAGAAATTAATCATATTTTATATGGCAATTTTAAAGTATAGATATTTGAACAATTTGACAGATATGCCAATTTCATAAGAACTTATTTTATTTTTTAGGGTCACTTACTAATAGATTTCTGAACCAGGTTCTCCCAAAGAATAAACATCATTAATGCTTTAGATTGTTATTATTAGCAGAAAATCAAAGGTAATATATTTTTGCCTTTCAAATTAGGATGAGATGGAAGCAACTAATGGATTCCATAGTTCTTCTACACTGCAAGTAATAGTTTTTCTTGGTTATTTATTACATATACTATAACATACAGAAAATAAATTTACCAGTTTCTCTCTTAGAACATTTATTTCTGATTCTCATTTAACAAACAAAATAATCTCTTTTGCCCCAAAAAAACCCCAAACCCAAACCTTACCATTAACACACCAAAAGACCACCAGTCAGCACTCTGAGTATGACCTCGACGATTAACTACTTCTGGAGCCATATATTCCACAGTTCCACAAAAAGAATATGCCTTCTTTTCATGGTCAATAGACTCTTTACTTAGGCCAAAATCTGCCAAAATAAATATTAAATTCATAAATATCCTACAGTAATTTGCACATGTAAATTTTAAATATTGAGTTCTAACGTTTATGTTAATTATTAAAAAACCTGAATACAAGTTTTTAACACAATTTATTACTTAATATGTGTACCATAATAAACCTTAAATGAAATGATATAGAGAAGAGAATATTTTATTTTATTTTATTTATTTATTTATTTTTTTTTTTTACAGGAGGCACTGATGCTGATATTTTATTTTTTATTTTAGCGTATTATGGGGGTACAAGTGTTAAGGTTACATATATTGCCCATGCCCCCCTCCCCCCTGAGAAGAGAATATTTTAAAATGAGTATTTTTACCTGTTAACTTGATGTGACCTTCTTCGTCAAGAAGTATGCTGAAAGAAAATAAAATCAGAAAATCTTTTTAAACCACACAATAGAGATTTATAGAAGCTAAAACTGAAATTACTTCTTTAAGCATCAGATCACCACATTTATTCTAAAATATTAGATTGTGAATAAGAAGGCAAAGGTAAAGGAGGAAAAATTATGTTTTTGGATATACATTTATAACAACTCCCAAAGGCAATGCCTTAAACTTGTATTAATGAGCCAGGGGTGCTTTAAAACTATTAGGAAAAGAACCAAACAATCTATACTCTTTTAATCTGCTCTAACGCTTTTCCGCATAGGTGGCCTGACTAAACTCCCTGGCACTTGCATAACAGACAGAGGGTCCATATATTCAAGTCAAAAGCATTAAACTTACCATTCTCTTGGTCATTTTTAAAGTATCTGATTTATTCATTCTTTCCTAAATTTTTTCCTGACACGACCTACACAATCCTCTTCTCCTCAACACAGTACCTTCCCCATACTTCCTGTTTTTCACTGACCCATCCCCTCATTGTATACATCCCTCCAGTGTTTTCTCTCTTTCTAAGTAACTCTAAGCCCCTACAAGGTTTGACCTTATTCATCTTTATAGCTCAGTATCTGGCAGAGCACAGTATAGATAAGAAACATTTGTTGAATGAATGAGGCCAGACTGCAAAGGGCCTACAAGGCATTCCAAGTAGTTAAGGCTTCTTCTCAAGGACAATAGAGACCATAAAAGGTGTACATGCATGGAAGGTAGAGATAATCAGATCTGCAACTTTAGAAAACAATTTAGAGAGAAAATAAAGGGCATTTAGTGAGTTTGCTGGGTCACGATAAAGAACAACTGGAGAATGACACTCAGGTTTCTGGCTTGAGCAGGTACTTGAGTGGAAAATAATGCCATTAAGGAGCTAGAGAAAAGAATGAGTACTAAGCTGTAGGCTAATAATTGTATTTCTGTACAGGTATTTTAGTATACTGACTTGAAAGGTCAAGTAATACACTGTTTCACTTATATTCAAAGCTATCTCATAACATAGGCATTTCCTTACTTTTAATTCTAACTAAAATATGTGCAAGTCAAATTTGTTATAATTAAATTTTACTATGACAAAAAGATCACCAACCTTCCTACTTTATCAATTCAAACATAATTACAACAAAGTTTACCACTGAGGGTAATTCAGTAGGGACATACTTTTCAAGTTTCTTTTATAATAAGGTCCTTGTTATGAAACAAATATTAATCTTGACTATGCTTGATTATGAAGCAGACTAACACATTTAGAGAATATAATGGGCATTGTTAGGTATGGTAGAAATCATTCCCCATTCTGTCTAATAAATAAAAGAAAGACAGTTCTAAAAGAAAAACAAACCTCAAGTCATTATTGGCAATTTTGAAAGCAAAAAAGAAAATCTAGGCAATAGGGCATTACTTATGCCTTCTATTGCAAATGTATTCTTTTAACATAACCATGCCCATACTTTGTCTTTGAAATAAAAAGTTGACTGCATCACTCTCTATAAATAAAGTTCTTTTTAAATTATTAATAATTATTTTAATCATATTTATTATAACAGAGTTCTAGCTTAAAAGAATCAATAAAACCACTAATGGTTGATAAAACATTTGGCCTAAAACTTTAAACTTCTCCCAAGTTCTGTGTGATGGTATTTACTTGGATCACTTACCCATTTACGGTAGTTCAATTTAATAGCATCATTTAGACACCTATGTGATCTCTAAGCAATCTTACCTACATTTGGTCTTATTCAAGCCTTGAGACAGGGCCCACGCTTTATATATACCTGTTTATGCTCATACAATAGTCTACAATAAATATATTCAATTAAATGGAATAAAACCTTAACACATTTTCTCTTATGAATATTTAATCTTATGTTACAGTAATTTTTTTCTTCTAAGGACTATATGCTTGAATATTTATTCTCACCAAGAATTATATTTTGTGTCATGATAGTTAAAAGTTGGGAAAATAAAGAGGAAAATGCAGTATTTGGGAAACAAAAGCAAAACCAAATGAAACATGCAAAAAACAAAATGTATGAAGAATAAACATAAAATGTAAATGTATGACAATTTATAAATGATCACTTAAGAGTTCCAGAGGAGCATTTTCCCTATTTCCTGTCTCAATATATAATTTAGATTTTGCATATAACATTTTAAAGTAATATTCAAAATTCTTGATAGGATGATGATTGCACAACTCTGCAAATCTACCAAAAACCAATGAATTGTATACTTTAAATGGATATTTTATATGGTATATGAATTGCAACTCAATAAAGTTGTTTAAAAATAGTCCTGGTAGAGCAAGGCTCTTGCTTATATCCTTAAAAAAACCCTCTTTCATATTCAGTGGTACAGAAACACTGACAAACTGAAACACAGAAATGTGTATAATTTAAATAATAGCTTCTTGATGACTGCTACTATAAAAGCTGTGGGAAATTTGCTCAACTCATACTTAAAATTTGAAAATATGTGTAGAAAAATATTTTCAATAAATGATATTTGGGGGAGAGGGTTACTTCCATACCATCCTTCATATAAAAAAATTTCTAGATGGAGTTAAAAGTAAAAAATAGAAACCATAAAATTAAAATATCTGACTATGGGATTGGGAAAAAGCTTTCTAAGAATAAACAGAAGAAATCATAAAAGAAAAAAGATTGGCAGATCTAAGGGAAAATATGTATAGATTAAATAACATAAAGTTAAAAGACAGACTGAAAAATTATATTTGTAACATATGTCAAATGGTTAAAGTTCGTAATTTGTAAAGTTCTTATCAATCACTGAGAAAAAATAACATCCTAAAAGAAAAAATGGTCCAGGTGTGGTGGCTCATGCCTATAATCCTAGCACTCTGAGAGGTTGAGGCAGGAGATTATATATATATCAATAAATAAATAAATGAAAAATGAACAAAAGCCATGAACAGAAAATTCACACAAAAATACAAATTGCCAATAGATTTCAACCTTATTTAAAAAAATCAATGGATGCACATAAAAAGAATATAATATTTTTTTGTTAATTTAGATTTTAAAAGTATGAAAATACATAGTGTAAGCAGAGATGTGCAGCACAGGCCCTCTGATGTAATGCTGTGGGAGTTTTATGAAGTCATCTGATTTTTTTATAACCTACTAAATAATTATATTACAGTGTATTCAACTTAGTAGCATGATTTCTTACTTTTCTGGTTTTAAGTCTCTATAGATTATTCCCAGGCTATGTAGGTGGTCTAATGCAAGTGCAAGTTCAGCCAAGTAGAATTTGACATCTTCTTCTGTGAACATCACCTAAAATAGAACAATAATTTTTTTTCTTTATTTTGTCTGTGTTTTTTAAAGTCCCACTCTAGAGTTTAAATAGTCAAAAAAATTATAAATATGCTAACTATACATAGCTTTATCCATAATTTGCTCATGAAAGGAATTTGCAAAATTATCTAATCAGTCAACCAAACACTTACTAAATACTAACTATGTACTGTGGGAGAAATAATCTTACATTTTGTTAAGAAACAACTATATTTAGGTTGTGCCACTGTTGTCTCACCACAGTAACATTTTAGAAATGAAAAATGATATTTAAAATGCATGCTGAATTTCCAATACTAATTGTTTAAAGATACCTTGTCAACATATTGCTGCTTCTGAAAAAGCTATAAAAGAAGCAGGGTTTAAGACAAATATAGTTTACTTGTCAATTTAAAGTCCTACTTTCAGAATAAATTCAAAACATTGGAAAAGAACTCTTTTTGGCTTAGATTCTTCACTGTAAGAGTCTTGTGCCACTAGAGAAAACATAATAAGCATAATACTGAACTATAACAAAGCTTTAGTTGAAACAGGATGCATATAAATAGATTAAAATAGAGATTAATTATATACCTCTTTGGATAAGCGTGTAAACAAATCTCCTCCCCTGAGAAAATCCAAAATAAGATACAACTTCCCTTCAGTTTGAAAAGCTGAATGAAGAAATGAAAATTTCCATTTAGTCCACTGTAATTTATTTTTTTAGGCTTACATTAGGTCATTCAGAAATGAATATTTTTAGCAAATTAATAATTATATCATAGATCTAAACTTATTTTAATGCAGAAGAAAACCACTGATTTCTCTTAGTTTTGATGTGAAAATGTTAAATGCATTTCTTATTCTGGAACCACTAGATTTTCTACAGGCAAAAGTCTCTCAGGAATATAATATAGTTCCAAACACACCTTTATCCACTGAGGAATAGTACACAGCTTTGGGAGAAAGAATGGTGATAACAGTTTTAGGACCCTGATTAGGGATCTTTCTTGCCTTTAGGTTGGGCTGATACAGATAGTATAAAATGCTGACACATTATTATTAATTATTATAATAAAAAGCAATAATTATCATTACCTGTTCCTATGGTTACCACTCAGAAACTACCTTTATAATGTTTAAAAAAAACCATAAGCTAAATGCATTAAAGTTTGTCTAAGAAGTAATGGTTTAATTTCTATGACTTGCTAAATACATATAAATATATATTTATATACATTAGTATAGCTGAATGCACTCAGAGAGTGGGGGATGAGTGATGGGATGAGGTGGGAGGTAGTTCACAACTTACCATAATGCAACTTGACAATAAAAGGATGATTAACTTCTACCAAGATATCACGTTCCATTTTTGTCCGAACACGGTCTCGAACTATAAAAGAGGGTACATATGCTACATTGCAATATCTTTCAAAGATAACCTTTAAAACAAATTCTGGTGCCCATGTTAAATAAAATTTTGCTTATGTATATGAAAATGTGAACTTTTAATTTATTGCTTTTGAATTTAAAAAATTAACAAATATATCTTTTACTACATTATATAACCAAAAGAAGTCATGTATATTTATTCAATCCATGTTTTAAAGTTGAAAAAAATTACTGAAAACACACTAGGTGTTGGCTTTAACATGCATAAGTAGTTTAATGACAGTTTTGGAAAATGGCAAAGAAACAAGCAACTTTTAAAAACAAGGCATTCTAAAATACAAAAAACTGGAATAGGTTTCAACACTCCTACCAGCTCTATCAACTCAATTCAACGAACATTCATTAAGCATCTATAAAAACATAGCAGATGTGGTGAAGAATGGCTATCCCCCAAAAGGTCTATTTCAAGGGAAGGAAGAGAGGAAATATTGTATACAGCTGAAAGAGCAAAGGTTTTTTGGAGTTAGATCTGGATTAAGATCTGTGTAAATCTTGAGAGCAAGATACTTATTTAAGCTCTCTGAGCCTCAGTTACCTCTCAGCTATAAAACGGGGTTAATACCACTATACCTTTGAGAAGTGTGTGATCATTTGAGATAGGGCATATACTCAGAGCTTGGTATGTTAAGAGAAATTTGATTAAATGGTAGCTATCATTATTATATCCAAAAGTAGCACCATGAATATGATTAAAGAATAGAACAATTTATTACCAGCAATGAGTAGTACAGGAATTCAGAGAAGGGCAAGATGGGTTTTACTTGCATAGGAAAGCTAGAGGAAAGAGGTGGGGTTAGGGCACAAGCTTTAAGACTTTTCGAGTGGAATTTAGATGGATGGGAAGGATAGGGCCTAGAAGAGAAGAATCCAGGCATGGAGTATCAGTGCAATCAAAGATATGGAGGCATGAATGATGAACAGGAAGGAACCGAATCAGTGTGGAAACAGAGGTTTACTACTGGCGAGGTGAAGTAGGGAGGATCTAGATTCTTGACAAGTTGGAATGCCAGGATGAATTTATATTTGATCCTTTTGGCAAAGCTCTCTTTCTGCAACCAAACATTTCCTGAGCCAAGTCTATGTGCTGAGCACTAGGGATACAAATACAAATAAAATAATCTGCAAGAAGCTCATAATCTAGCGAGAATGACAGACACGTAAATGATTAGAGTACATTTCTGATAAGTACTCTCATTAAAGATTAAAATAGAAAGACTGTGTCAAGGATTAAAATAGAAAGAATGGGGTGTAATCCTAGCACTCTGGGAGGCCTAGGCAGAAGCATTGCTTGAGGCCAGGAGTTCGAGACCAGCCTGGGTAACAAAGTGAGATACCCCCACCCCCCCACCCCCACCAAAAAAGAGAAAAAAAATGGGAAATAGACTCTTTTTGAGGTGGTGAGAACAAGAAAGTTGAGTTGGTTTTATTTTCAATTTGAAGTGATCACAGATATTTAAAATATGGAAATAAGACTTATGGGTAAAACAAAGCAGCTAAAAAATATCCTATTTTTCCCATTCTACTGGTTTTCCAACCCCAACTGGGAAATTTTAGTCCCATTCACTGAAAATGGGCAAATCAGGGATAGGAACTGATTGTTCTTGATGTCTATGCAGTTCTGTCTTTTAACTGACTTGTCCAGCTAGTATATCAAATTCAATATCAATTTCTGGTTTCATTATTTTGTCCTATCACTACAACTCTGGTGTCTTCCTCATAATATCAGACAGGGCCTTTCTATTTTTCCTGTGAATGAAGTTCATCACCAAGGCCTGCTGATAATTCTGTTCCTGTCTAGCCTAAATTTGTTCTTTTTCCATTGTTTTTGGATATTAGTTCCTATTACCTTAAAGCTGGATTCCAAATTTCTACCTCTTTCAATAAGTATACAAAGCTTATCATTTAAAAATCACTCCTCTGCTCAGTAAGCAGCAAAAAATCCACCAATGTATTTATTATATACCCCTCTTCTATTATTCTACCACACTGAAAAGAACAATTATTTAGGAGTTAAGAACTATAGTTTAGTGGCTATGCTAATAACTAGATGAGTTACCTTGGTCAAATCATTTCATTGCTCAGGGAATTCCTATTTCCTTCTCTATAAAATGAGGGGCTAGAACAAGAATATTTTCATTTGCTTATGATTATCCTGTCAGATAGTTTTCTTTTCAACATTTTCTTACATATAATATTGATGAGACTCTGTTTTAGTATTTTCAACTACTGAGATTTTCCCACTAAAGAATTTCTTCATTTTGTCTGAGGTGGGACCTGTGTAATAATTCTAATTCTGGTTTCTTTTGCTTATGTCAAGACCCAGAAACAAATATAAACCCTCCTACAATCAGGAATTTTGATTAGTATATACTAGTTCAAAAGAAGACATGTTTTATATTGGTCAACTTCTAAACCCTAAAATAGAATTTGTTAATACTGACTCATGCTGGCAAAGCAACTGGATTCCTCTGAAATATTTTTTTAATATAGTAGTTACTAGATTTAAACCCTCCTTAACTTAAACATGAGTGTGAACAAGAAGAAATGCTGTTCATGTTTCTAGGACTATATATTAGGAAACTGTTTTTTTTTTTTTTGGTTAGGTAATTTTATTTATTTTTGTTTTTTTTTGGAATATAGAACTTTATTATTATTATTTTAATTGACAGATAAGCTCTATCCGTCTAAGTGAAGTATAGAAACGAGAATAGAAAAACAAGCATCACACGTACCGAGTCAAGTCTTGGTACTCACTGAGTACATGTACTCACCATTAAATTGGTACTAATTGATTAAGACTTATGTGCACATATGGAAGAGACTGTTTTAAGCAGTGGTTTACAAAACCTTTTAGGCCAACAGACCACTTTAATAGGACAAAAGTTCCCATTAACTTGACCTAATGCCACTGACTTCTTTTTATTTTCATTTTTATTTATTTATTTTTTGAGACAGAGTCTCACTCTGTTGCCTGGGCTAGAGTGCCGTGGTGTCAGCCTAGCTCATAGCAACCTCAAATTCCTGGGCCCAAGTGATCCTCCTGCCTCAGCCTCCCAAGTAGCTGGGACTACAGGCATGCGCTACCATGCCCGGCTACTTTTTTCTATATACTTTTAGTTGGTCAATTAATTTATTTCTATTTTTAGTAGAGATAGGGTCTTGCTCAGGCTGATTTCGAACTCCTGACCTCAAGCGATCCACCTGCCTTGGCCTCCCAGAGTGCTAGGATTATAGGCGTGAGCCACCATGCCCGGCCTACTGACTTCTATCTGACCCTATTTATTGTAGTAATAGGAACTTTAAAATGGAAAGAGACTTCTTAAACATGGATGTTTTACTCTCTACTTTCTTCCAAAATCCCATCAAAATGACAATAATGGAAAAATTATGCATTAACTCACAAAGACAAGAAGCAACAGGAGAGGAAGCAATAGCAGAAGAAGATGGGTAAGTGGTAACTAACAAAGAAGACTAGAGAAAGCTAAATCTAAGCCTACAGAAAGGAAGCCAATGAGAAATAAGCAAATTCTTGCCCAGAATCCTTTCCAATCTGCTTTTTAGTATCTCACTATTAAAAGAGGAATAGATAGCAAAGGATCCCCAGGCATTTGAGAAAAGTAAAAACATAAAATTAAACAGAAAAAAGGAATAAAAAGAAACAAAGACAAGGTAAGAAACAGAACACAACAAAACAAAATTCAACCTTGTAATTTATATCCATTGAGAGACTAAAGATGGTATGTTACCCATGAAACAAGAACAAGAAGCTTTAAAAAGGGGCAGGAGAATGAATACATATCCTCAGCAAATGAACTATAAGGAAAAGACAAGAAATGGAGACAGAGCTCACAGATAAAAAGACTTAAAAAGACAGCAATCAATTGCAAATTATAGACCTGGTATGTTTGAACCCTGATTTAAACAAATTGCATGAAGAAAAATGAACTGTAACAGTAGGCACAAGTAGAAATTTGAACACTGACTGGATATCTATATGTTAATTTTTAGGTATAATAACAGAGATGTATTATTTCTTTTAGGAGTATTTACTTTTTAAAGGTATATACTAAAATATTTATGTAAGAAATTATACAATGTCTGGGATTTGCTTCAAAATATCAAAAGGGAAAGGAGGAGAATATAGATAAAAAAGGTCAACAGAGGCTGGGCACGATAACTCATGCCTGTAGTCCCAACACTTTGGAAAACCAAGGCAGAAGGATCATTTGAGCCCAGGAGTTCAAGACCAGATTGAGTAAAATAGCGAGACCCCATTTTTACAAAATCTTTTTTAAAAAATTGGCTGAGTGTGGTGGTATGCACCTGCAGTCCTAGCTACTCAGGAGGCTTAGGCAGGAGAATCACTTGAGGCCAGGAGTTTGAGGTTGCAGTGAGCTATGATTACGCCATTGTACCCCAGCCTGGGTGACAGAGTGACACCATGTCTCAAAAACAAAACAAAACAAACAAGAAGGTCAGCAGAACTGTTGGAAGATAGTTGATGAAATTTCACAGAAGACAGAACAAACATGGAAAATAGACAAAAATGGAAAATAGAAGGGGGATAAAAAAAGAGGAGGCCCAATATATTCAAAGAGTAGCAGTTACAAAATGAATAAATGACAAAAAGCTTTCCCAATGCTGAAATGCATTTCTGGGTTGAAAGAGACCACTTCATATCTGATATGATGAATTTTTAAAAACCCATACTAAAGAATACCACTGTATAAATTTGAGACTACCAGGGATGAAGAGTAGATTCTAAAGACTTCCAAAGAGGAAAAGCAGCTTACACACAAAGGACCGGGAGTCAGAATGGCAATAAACTTCATCATTGCAACACAGGAAACTAGAAGACAATGGAAGCAATGCCTTCAAATATCTGGGGGAAAATTATGTCTGATCTAGAATTTTACATCCAGCCAAATTATAAATTAAGTGAGGGGACAAAATAAAGGCATTTTCAGACATTCATGGTCACAAAAAATACACCATCCATTAACCTTTTCGAAGGTAGCTACCAGAAGGTATGTTCTACCCAAAACTATAAAGTAAACTGAGAAAACAGTAGATACCAAATTTTGGAAAAGAGATGGGGTACAGCAAAGATGTGAAGGAAATGTGACTCCGGTAGATCATTTGGTTTAGCTAGGAACAATTTTTATAAAGCTGTAAAAATGAAAACATTACTGGGAAGACGTGAAAAGGGAAATTGTGTGTGGGTGGCAGTGTGAGAGAACTAAATCCTAATCTTCCATGTTAAGAAGCCAGTAGATTATGTCTTCAAATGAAAACAATCAAAGAACTGCAATATAAGAATAGTAAATATGAAGGCAAATGGCAGAACCAGCAGTAAAGAGTTGAAAGTCATTGTCTCTGAGGGTCAAGAATTCGGATAGGCAGGAGGGTGGGTAAAGCACTACTATCTTGCAGGATAATACTCTGTACAGATACTACTTTGATAAAAATAAAAATTACATTCAAAAACACATTTCAGGGGCCAGGCGCGGTGGCTCAAGCCTTTAATCCTAGCACTTTGGGAGGCTGAGGTGGGAGGATCACTTGAGGCCAGGAGTTCAAAACCAGCCCTGGCAAATATTGAGACCCCATCTCTACAAAAAATAAAAGAGTTATCTGGTGGTGGGGGTAGGGGGTGTGCATGCCTCTAGTCCCAGCTACTAGGGAGGCTAAGGCAGCAGGACTGCTTGAGCCCAGGAGTTGGAGGGTGAAGTGAGCTATGATGATGCCACTACACAACAGCCTGGGCAACAGAGTGAGACCCTGTCTCAAAAACAAAAACAACAAAAACAAAAAAGCCACATTCAGAATTATCCAGCAGCCTGCAATTCCAATAAAGTCAAATATTTTCACTTTTCTATGATTCCTCCCATAGCTTATATCTGTAAAATTTTATATAATTGTAGTGGCTCAATTTGTTATAATTTTTCACTTATGCATTTTCATTAAGTTCATTTTTGTAATTATATTTAAAATACTTCAGTTTAATAATATCCTATTAAGTGGTAAACCATAACTTTCTACACATTCCTCTACTTTTCAATGTGTATGTGATTTCCAAATTCTTGCTACTGTAAATGATGTTGCAATGAGAATTTTCAAGCATATGAATTCCTTTCTGAGGTTATTTCCTCAGGCCAATTTAGCAGCAATAATGGCTCTTTGTACTTATTGCAAAATTGCTTTCCAATTTATGCTGCCATCATATGAAATAACTCATTATTTAATATACATTTCTTTTATTTTCAGCAAAACTGCGCACTTCCCCAAAGATTATTTATCTCCTTGTGTAAACTTTATTCTAAAATCCTTTTAGGTGGAGGGTATAATGATATTTTTTATTAACTCTTAACTCCATCCTTCATCTTAGTTGAAATTCTATTGCAAGGAAAAGCTTTCCCTTCTCTCCCATTAATTAATTTATCAATTAACTCATGGATTCTTGTTTTATTCAATAGGCTGTAATCTATCACTATCATTCATTATTGCCATGTTCAAATTGTCCCAGATTTGGCCAGTAGTAGCCCTTTAATCAATTCCAATAAAGTCAAATATTTTCAACTTTAAATCAACTCCTTATATTAATATTTGAGACAAAAATTTTCCTATTTATACTATTTTTCATTGTATGAAACTTAAAAAAATTTTGTACTGTCAATTTGTTTGTCATTTGCTCAATATCTCTTCATAAGTTTCCTAGATGTGTTAAGTTGCAAAATTCAGTTAGGCTGTAGTTTGTTATGGTATAGGGTTTAAGAAAAGACTCTAAAGTTTTCTAGGTTTCTCAGGGGTATTTAAAAACAATTTAAGAAATCATTATTTAATTTCCCATTGTTCTGTATACCTGCTTTGTCATACAGTGCAGCAGGTACTCAATATTTTTGTAACAAATATGTTAAAATGTAATATATATTTTATACTATTTTGTTCTACTGATTTCTATGCCTATATTATTCCCCCCAATAACACTCTGAATGATGCTGGTTTAAATAAGTTTTAGCACCGGACAGAGCTTGTTCTCTTTTCATTATTCTTCTTTTCCAAAATACTCTGGGTTCAGAAATGAAATTCTGAATCATTTTTTTACATTTTAAGGAAAATGAAACTGGAATCTTAACTGATACTGAGCTAACTGGATGGCCAGAGGAGTACTGAGATTCTTTTCTCTTTTTTTTTTTGAGATAGGGTCTCGCTCTGTTGTTCAGTCTTGTAGTACAGTGGCTCATCATACCTCACAGCAACCTCAAACTCTTGGGCTCAAGTGATCCTCCTGCCTCAGCCTCCCAAGTAGCTGGGACAATAGACATGTGCCACTATCCCTGGCTTATTTTTTTTTAACTTTTTGTAGAGCTGGGGTCTCACTCTTGCTCAGGCCGGTCTTGAATTCCTGGCCTCAAGCGATCCTCCCATTTTGGCCTCCCAAAGTACTAGGTGTAAGCCACCATGCCTGACCTGAGATTCTTAACACTTAGCCTTCTCTAATAGGACTTGGGTATTTATTTCCTTTCCTGATGACTTTTAGGTTTTTCAGAGTTTTGTAGTTTCCCTTACATATACTACACATAACACAAATCCTATCAAATACATAAAACAAACTACTTTTGTGAATGAAATGAGTTCTATTTATGCCATTTTGTAACATGGAATTCATGAGAATAAAGCTATAAAAGTAGTAATAGGCCAGGCATGGTGGCTCGTGCCTGTAGTCCCAGCACTTTGGGAGGCCAGGGAGGGAGGACTGCTTGAGCCCAGGAGTTTGAGATCAGCCTAGGCAACACTGTGAGACCCTGTCTCTAAAAAAATTTAAAAATTAGCCAGGTATGGTGGTGCAGGCCTATAGTTCCAGCTACTCAGAAGGCTGAGGTAGGAGGATAGCTTGAGCCCAGGAGTTGGAGGCTGCATAGAACTGAGATTGTGCCACTGCACTCCAGCCCAGGCAACAGAGCAAGACCCTGTCTCTAAAACAAAATAAGAAATAAAAAATAAGTCGGGGATAGCGGCTCACGCCTGTGATCCTAGTACTCTGGGAGGCTGAAGCAGGAGAATCACTTGAGCTCAGAAGTTCAAGACCAGCCTAAGCAAAAGTGAGGCCCTGTCTCTACAAAAACGTAGAAAAATTAGCTGGGCGTTGTGGTGCCTGTAGTCCCAGCAACTCAGGAGGCTGAGGCAGGAGGATCCCTTGAGCCTAGCAGTTAAGAGGTTGCAGCGAGCTACAGTGATGCCACTGTACTCTACCTGGGGCCACAGAGTGAGACTCTCTCTCAAAGAAAAACAAAACAAACAAACAAACAAAAAACAAAGAGAGAAAGAGAGAGAGAGAGAGAGAGAGAGAGAAGAGGAGAGGAGAGAGAGAGAGAGAAAGAAAGAAAGAAAGAAAGAAAGAAAGAAAGAAAGAAAGAAAGAAAAAGAAAAAAATAAAAGCAGTCATATAAATATAAAGGTAGGGCACTGAGGATATAATTTAATTCTCTGGTCTTAGCAATAATCAGGTAAGTGGTAAAGCCATAGGGTAGAGACTGAATAGGAAAGAAAATACACTCAGGAAGGGAGCAAGAGAATGGAAACGAAGGACAGTGTTTATAAAGAGGTAAAATTGGGACGATGATAATATCTATGGTGGGTATCTAATTGAGAATAACATCAGAAATAATAAGTGATCATTGCAAATATTCCTTCCAGAATATTTAAAAAGCTTTATAAATTATATGTAAACTGAAGAGAAAAAAATTGACATCAGGAATCCATAAATAAAGTATCTAGAAGTTATACAGTAAAATAAGTGATACTACTAAATCAAAGGAAGACTTAAGTATTTTAAAAATCTATATGTAATTTCTTCTAAATGACTTTTTGCCCATGAGAGCCAAATCCTATATTAGAGTTTTCAAAATCACAGGCTCAGAATAAAAATTTATTTGAGACCAGAAGTCAAGATGATAAAGTCCTTTAAAATAAAAGATATTTTACATCAAGTAAATCAGTTTTTCAAAATATTAAAATTACATTAATTTGAAGATGAATCAAACCTAGTTTTAATCTTATACAACTTCTACTTGCCTAAAGCCCAATATGAATTTATAATACTTCTTTTGTAACGTGGCAACTCCTGTTTTGACTAGTTGTATGATTCCTAGCCCAGTAGGAAAAATTCACAAAAAGTCAGTCTAAATTTAAAGCCAGTAACAGGAACTGATTCAGAATGTAAGTAACCAGCCTCAGCATCCCATGAGCTCTATTGAGACCTTTCGGTTTGTTTAGACTACATGAACATTACAAACAGCAGCAGCACTTACCTTTCAGTGTGGCCTTCTTTAATACCTTCATGGCATAAAGCTGTCTAGCATCAGAGCCTGAGATTTTTTTAACTAAGAAAACCTGCATTTAAATAAGAGAAAATAAATGTTATAAAGTCTCACAAACTATACTTCTGTTAAAATAAGACTCCTGCTATAATACAGTTTATTATTATTACACAGATTCTCATACATTGCAGATCAAGTATTTCCCCTAAAATGTATCAGTTCTAAATATCAATTGTAAATAGCAGTTATAACTTGTGGTGTCAATATAAGTGGAATACATTTTTTCATTTTGTTGTTTGTCAATTCCCAAAGAGCATATAACATGTTAGGACAGAAAAAAAATCTTTAAACTACCTATGTAGGAATTAGATGGAGAAAAGCCCAGCATGTTTAAAGTATATAAGAAAGGTGGTGATGGCTCTGCTTCTCACAAAACAAAAATTCTTTTGAGCCCATCAAAACTGTTATACAGGGGTTCCTCCTGACCACAATTTCCTGTTGATAGTGATAAAGGATCTTTTCTGTATATGAAAAATGCACATACATCTCACTGCTTGGCAGAACAATTACATTCAAGAGGCCTATTCACAAATATTTAATGTGACCTAAGTCAGAACCCCACCTCCCCACCTTTTTACAATCAAATTATCACATATATTTAAATATGAAGAACACAATTCTCAGGTTTTTTATTGAGCATCTTGACTTTCTAAATATTTTTGGCCGATTTCATAATACAATGTGGGATTTGTGATAAATGAATAAAGTCTGCTCTAAATAACTCATGGTCATGCTATAACATGGCCAATACAAGACTATCAATAAATTTGTTGTACTCATTTTGACCATTAGGTTCATGATCTTTTCCACCAAACCTTTAAATAGACCTGCTAAATGGACCTGAATTTCAACTCTTCTTCCCTACCCATTCTTTCACATTAATAGTAATGTTCTTAAGCTGCCACAGGTGGGAAGAAACGAATCAATTACAATCAAGAATTAACTTTAGGATTAGCTCTCAATTACCTGAATTAGGACGTCATGCTATTAACACAAAATCAAAAACGATTCATTCCACTGATTCTAGGACAAGGCAGTTTCTCACTTTGAGAAACTGTAACAAGGCAATGGGCAATGAACCCAAATCAAGTGAAGAGCACCATGACTTGCAAAGAAACCCTGATGAAGAATGTGTTGCTCTCCTATAATCACTCCCTCCCCTCTTTTAGCATGCCCCACCCTTTAGCTCCTTTCAGCCAGTTATTGGGGAGCCAACCTAGGAAGAGAAAAGCATTCTTAAACAGGGTGGTTCTAAGGTGGAATGATGTTCAAATGTTAAAAGTAATCATAGATTATTAATATTTTTGAACAGGAATAAATTCTAATTAGGTGGAGATAATTAGGATTTATTTGATATTTATTCATTGTTAAGATTTCCTAATAAAACTTCTTTATTTTATTCAAGAAAAAACTTCCTTGGTGTATTCCAAATTTTCTTCAACTATTCTTTGAATGTACCTTCTTAACACTTTTCAGCATCTCTTAGTAGTTTCACAAGCATTGTAATAGATTATCATGACAATTTTGGTAGGCAGGCCTACTAAGCAATGCTTATTTTATAGCTGTCTGAACCAAGGCTTAGAGTAATTAAATAATTTGCCCAGTGTCGCAGTGGAGGTATTGGAACAAGATCCGGGTCAGCCACCCAGTCCTATGCTTCTGCTCAGGGTGCTCTTTATCTGTTCCCTTTGGCCGGTAACCAGCCAACCCCAGCAGGAGTAGCAGCAATCCCAGCTGCCACTGCTTCTTCCACAAGAGCATTTTTGACCTTTCTCACTCCCCCATGAAGCTATTCTAGGCTCTGACAGGTCATCCCTGTTTCCTTGGCTTACCCTGGCCTTTTAGGATGAGTAATAAAGGAGATACCCTATTTTTAACGTTTGATATTTATAGTAAGGTATTTAAGTTACTTTTAAAGATGTAAAGGGAGAAGCATGCTAATTCCTAGGAACTTAAATATTGTGTTCCCTGAAAATCCAATGTATAAAAATAAACCCATCTATTTGAGTTTATTAAGTGGTATGATAATACAATTTAATACCAGATATTATACCACTTAATGACCTTATACCATTTAATTCTCACTACTATAGTGTTGGGACTATTACTCATGAATTCTTTCCAGAATTATATGCTAGGCACTGTGCTACTGGTTCAATGCTGAGACTGGCTACAAGGCATGGCCCTCATATTCATGGAACACACAGTCTAGTGGGGGAGATAGCCAATAAATAAATGAAAAACTGTAATTGTGCCAAGTGCCATGAAGATGAGGTATATAATGTTCTGAGAGGGTATAACCAGGGAACATGATCTGTGCTGGATGGCAGGGAAGGCTTCTTTGGGATCAAAGGCACAGAGGAGCTAGCCAGCTGAAGAATGGGTGGGACAGAGTGTTTCAAGCAGAATGAATAGGATGGGGAAAGGCTTTCTAGTGAGATGAAACTTAAGGACTCTGAGGACCAAAAATAAGTCAATGTGGCCAGAACACAAAGAGTGAAAAGTATGTAAACTGTTGGAGAAATAGCTAGGGGCCAGACTGAGGAGCTCCTCAGCCATTTTAAGACTCTGTCCTTATCATAAAATCTAAGGGAGGCTACTAAAGGGTTAAAGAATTAGAGTAAAATATTAGTTCATGCTGGCTGTCATGTAAATAATGGATTGAGGCAAAAATACATTTGGGAAGACCCAGTTAGGAGACTCTTTCAATAGACCAGGTAGAAAGGTGGTGGCATGTTCTGGAGGGGTGGCAGTAGACAGACAGGCATGCTTTGAGAAATCTTTACTAAATTAACAGGACTTGGTGACAGATCAGATTGGCTGGGGCAGGAGTGGGACAGGGGATGGTAGGAACTAGAAAGATATGTCAAGAATGCCTCCAAGTTTCTGGCTTAACTGGATGACATTCATAGTGTTAGAAAAAATGAAATAGGACAGATTTGAGGGGTAGGGGAAGATCATGAGTTTGGTCTCAGACATGTTGAGTTTAAAGTTCCTTTGAGACATGCAAATGAAAAAAAGTAAGCAGCTGTGCATAAAGAGTTCAGAGCTTGGAGGAGTAATCTAAGTTGAAGGCAGGTGCAGTGGCGCACACCTGTAATCCCAGCACTCTGGGAGGCCAAGGCAGGAGGATCGCTCAAGGTCAGGCATTCAAACCAGCCTGAGTGAGATCCCGTCTCTAATAAAAAAAACATAGAAAGAAACTAGCTGCACAACTAAAAATATATAGAAAAAATTAGCCGGGCATGGTGGCGCATGCCTGTAGTCCCAGCTACTCTGGAGGCTGAGGCAGGAGGATTGCTTGAGCCCAGGAGTTTGAGGTTGCTGTGAGCTAGGCTGACACCACGGCACTCTAGCCTGGGCAACAGAGTGAGACTCTGTCTCAAAAAAAAAAACACAAAAAAAACTAGGTTGGAGATATAAATCTGTTAGGTCAGCTGTATGTCAGTTACAATTAAGGCAGTGGGCATAGACAAAATCATTTAGTAGGGAGTATGTATAGAGGAGAAGGCAGCCTAGAATTGAAACCTGAAGAACTTCAGTATTTAATGACTGGCTAGAAGAGGGAAAATGGGGCTCTAAGAGGTTAAGTCACTTGCTCAAGCACACACAGTGAATAAATAGAAGGAAAAAAATTGCAACTATTATGCTCTGCTGGCTACTTAGGATTAAAAGCATACTTTTGGGTTTGAAAGAGGTTACCAACTGTAACAAATTACCTATGTTAGCTAAGAATTTCTACATAGTCTCACTAAAATACACATGAGAGCTAAACTGATACTGTTTTGAAACTTGCAAAGCACAGTATCTTTAAATGTTTCCTTACACAGAGCTGGTAAGGAATCACTCCATTATGAACATCGAGTACAGTATCTGAATTTTCCTCTAGCCAAGAAATGGTCTAGATAGATCATGTAGTAGTAATTGTAATGCTGTATTTCTCAAAATGGAATACAGGAAGTGCCCCTGAGGTGTGCAGCAGGTGGACAAGGACTACTTGAAGAAAAGTGATAAAGATGTTACATCTTCTGGAGCAATTTTACTTGGTGGCTTGGGGAAACACTTTTGATTTTTTTTTTTTTTTGAGATAGGGTCTTGCTCTGTTGTCTAGGCTAGAGTGCAGTGGCATCATCATAGTTCACTGCAACCTCCTACACTTGGGCTCAAGGGATTCTCCTGCCTCAGCCTCCCAAGTTGCTGGGTCTACAGGCACTGGTGCCACCATGCTCAGATAATTTTTTGAAAATTTTTTGTAGACACAGGGTCTTGCTATGTTGTTCAGGCTGGTCTCAAACTCCTGGTCTCAAGCCATCCTCCTGCCTTGGCCTCCCAAAGTGCTAGGATTACAGTCGTAAACCACTGTGCCTGACCAGACCCACTTTTTAATATTAAAAACAAACACAGATGTTATTGAAGAGAATGCAAACTTTGCATTCATTTTAAAGACAAGTCATGAGTCCAAAATTTTCATATTTGTAGCAGTAATTCCCAACCCTACTTCCTTGAGAGTACTTAACTTTATGTTAGTATTAGGGTACACTGGAAAGGAGGCTGAGATGTACTGTTATATTGTATTATAAGATCACCTTCCAATCCTTTACAAGGACTCAAAAAGAGGCCAGTGTATCAAGGGAATAGCTTGTGATTTTTTAACCATTTAAGAAGCACAACTAGAGAGGTCATGTGGTCTTAAAGATAAAATGATTATGAAGTGAATACTACCAATTTGTTAATACTAAAGTTTCCAATGTACTTTTGAATGACTTTATTCACTTTCCCACATTTACTGATAGAGAGAGGTGTAAAAACACAGAAAACACTGCTGATAGGGAGCATTTCACCAAACATTTCCATTTCCCCATATGTATGAAATACATATGAATTCCAGAAACAACTTTTAAAAAAGCACACATTCACGACTTACCTTTCCAAATGATCCCTGCCCTAATACTTTTAAAAGTTCAAACTGGGAAGGATCTGCCTTTTCATGTCCCTCCTTTACATGATGTGTGATTGCAATTTCTTTGATACTGCCTTCCTCCTGTTGAGGTAAATATAAGGGGAGAAAACAGAGTTAAAGCCATTTTCTCTCACTGAAAATCAAGCAATATTAATTTAGTGTAGGTTAGAAATCTTCAAATTAATATACAAAACCACCCTTTACTGACCCACCAAGTAAAACAAAAACACATGCCACACCAATATACTTTCAAGTTAAATGTCAGAGAGAGTACTATAACAGTCCATTACATAGGCCAATTTAACTTTTACATGACATTAGCACTAAGTATTTCAAAGTCTTCTTTCTCCCTATTGGAGACAATTAGAATAAATAGTTTTATTGTGGGGGGCAGAGGGTGTATAGAAGTCTGAAAATAACAGATCAGAGTAATCTGCTGTGCTCTGGCCTGTGGTTATACTAGGCAGAACCAGTGCTATATTTAAAAAAAAATGTTTATTGGGGAGAGGGGTTGAAAAATATTCCAGGGTAAATATGGAGATTTCTATCCTCAATATGATTGTTTAAAGTAAGTACACTGATGTTTTATCTGTTTGAAATATCTAAGAGTTACTTTCTGATTCTAGAATAACCTGGGATCTGAGAGAGGAGAAAGGAATAACTCTAAAACACAAAATCAGAAAAGACTTTTTTATTTTGTTTTGTTTTAAGGCAGGGTCTCACTCTGTGGCCCAGGCTGGAGTGCAGTGGTGCCATCATAGCTCACTGTAGCCTCAAACTTCTGGGCTCAAGTGATCCTCCCACCTCAGCCTCTCAAACATCTGGGACCACAGGCATGTGCCACCATGCCTGGCTATTTTTAAACATTTTTTATAGAGCTGGGGTCTTGTTTTGTTGCACAGGCTGGTCTCAAACTCCTGGCCTCCAGTGATCCTCCCACCTCAGTCCCCCAAAGTGCTGGGATTACAGGAGTAAGCCACTATGCCAGGCCAAGAGAAGGATTTTTTTAAAAGATGGTGGACACTTCTGTATATTTGTGGGGAGGTGCTAGAACAAAGAGAAAATGTATGTAAATGTACACAGGATTTCAATTATTTATATTAAGATTGGTAGATTAAGCATACCTTATTTAAACAAGACTCATAATATGATAGCCAAAAACTATAACAATAAAACAAAAGCTAACAAAATCAGAAATATAAGCCTTTCAAATACAGACTACCATTTCTATTATATTTTGTTGACTATGTTATTTTTTTCCTAGGAGCATAATTACTATTAGAAGAATCTCAATGTGTTATATAAACATAAATAATTCATTATTTTTATTACTGCTGTATTTCATACAAATGTTTGAGCTCAATTAACACTTTCTGAGATACCTTTAGAATGCTGGCAACATAAGGAATGACAAAAATTTCTCAGAAAGATATATGAAGATCCCCTAATTTGGTATCTTTTAAAAATGAGTAGTAAAGGGGGGGGACCCAAAACTAAAAAATAAAAAACAAAAGCTCCCAGAACAAGATAAAAAAGAATCCAGGCCCATCATTTTACTTTCTAAGACACAGGCTGTAGTTTGTAGGTTATCCTACTACTGAGGCAGATGAATCATTTTGGATACTCTCTGAACTTTGGCAATAATAATAGAACAATCTCCTAATATTGGTTTAGTCCTTTATTTTGTAAAGGACTAAATCTTTAATTCTTACAACAATCCTGTGCAGTAGGTATCAGGGTAGAACCAAGCATTAGTTGACTCTAAGATGCTACTTCCTTCCTTCAAATAAAACCAAGGTACAAGGGCTTCAGACACCCTTGTCTCCATATGAGACCAAGGGCTCAGTTGATTAGAGCAGTGGACTTTGAATTTTTGGTAGCACATCCTTAGCAGTATAAAAAATTAGCATATACTCAATATTTGTATACTTACTGATTTATAAATTACATACATGTAAAGAAGTTATCCTCTTTCTTTTCTATACCCCAAAGTGCTGTCACTTTGTACTCTGAAGACTAATGGATTACAGACTTAAACTCATGGGGCCAAGTTCACAGGCTGGATTCCAGCATGTGTCAATTAGCATCATTTGGAAGAAAACTATCTGTTCAAGAGCCTAACTGGAATCTAGCAGTCATGTATGCCCTTAAACCATGAAGCCATGAAGAACTATACTCCACAATGTTTTATATAATTTACCACTTTTATTTCTTGGGTAAGTGGGATGTGATTTATTGGGTACAATATTTTTTTCACCTTATATTTCATAGCAAATACCTACAACAATTGCCTGACACAAGTAAAGATGCAACATGGGCACAGAACAATCACTGAATTATAAACATGTTGCATTTTACAAAATGCAGGCATACAGGATCAAGCCTTACTCTTACACAGTGTGAGCTACAATCAGGCCCTGGATCACAAAATAAATAGCACTTATTATACTCATCTTTTCCCCCCACTTTAAATTATTTATTTATTTATTTCAGGATATTATGGAGGTGCAAACATATAGATTACATGTTTTGACTTTGCCACACCCAAACCATGATTGGAAGCATGCCTTTTCCCCCCTACAATGCTCTTATATTTTCCTGGATAGAAATTGAGCCCATCCTCTGAAGTGAGGTATCACAAGAATGGAAGAATAGGCTCCACATGTACTCGCCATCAAATTGGCACTAACTGATCAGCACTATGGTGCTCACACAGTAGTAATAGTCTTCAGAGATTGGGAGGTTGGGCATGGGTAAACTCATAACAATTCTCATCTTTGATGACTACCCTTCCTTTACTCCCATGTCGATAAGTTACTAAAAAATGTAAAGTCTCTCTTTGATCCCTTCATTTAACAAACATATACTGAAACACCTACTATGTATCAAGCATGGTGCTGGGAATACCTTTCATTCTTTCTTTTTTTTCCAATTTATTTCTTTTCTTTTTTAAATTTCAGAATATTATGGGAGTACTATTTCCAATGGTATCATCTGGGTACATGTCTTCATCGCCTTTCATGTAGAAAACTGAAAACTAGCCTGTGTCCACTCCAATTCATCCTCTTGAAAAATTCATTTTCTGAAAGTATACAACTCCAGTTATATGACCAGGCTGTTCAAAAACTCCTCCGAGTTTCCCCATATTAAAGGCACTGCTTCACCTCAGCATTCAAGGCCCTCTACAAAATGGCCTTAACCTACTTTTCTGGCATCATCTCCCAACATTCCCTTACCCATAGCTTTGTGTCAGCCTGGGTTGTTTTCTGTTCCCTAAACTTTTTGTTTTTAAAATCAAAGTAACACATGCACATTGGTAACAAATAAGCAGTGGCAAAATAGCTTATGATAAAAATAAAGTCTCTTCTTAAGCCATGCCTAGACTGAAAAAAAAATAGCTTTGCATTTACTTTCATACAATGTGTACTGACTTAAAAATAAGAAAGATGAGGAGCTCACTTACATTATGCCCTTCCCTTCCATCATCTTCTTCCCCACTGTTTGGTAATTATATTACTTTTATATAAACCTCATCTTCTCTCAGTTTTGGACAGAATCCTAAGTTCTCACTTTATAAAAGGAGGCTAATAGTGCCTATACATTCTTTCTCTCAAATTTCTCCCCACCTGCTACTAACTGTATTTTAAAATTTTTATTAAGGCTATTAATTTTAAGAAAATTAACATTCTCTCCTGCAACCACAACCAAATCCTTAATGCTTTCTTCATAGCCTGATCCCCAAATCGAAAGCCTACACAATAACATCCACATTATCATGACAATATATTGTTCAAATGTAGGCTTGGTAGTATATTAAATTTCCTTTTATATGAGTCTATAACAATGACTCCTGGGCCAATCCAAAGGAACTTTAAAAAACAACAACCATATTTCATCCAATGCTTAAATTCATGATAAACTCTACTTATTTTTTTCTCCTTTTTATGAAACAGGGTCCTGCTTTCTTGCACTGGCTACAGTGCAGTGGTGTCATCATAGCTCACTGCAACCTGAAACTCCTGGGCTCATGCAAACCTCCTGCCTCAGCCTCCCAAGTAGATGGGACTACAAGTGCATGCCAGCCCTGCCCAACTAATTTTTCTATTTTTAGTAAAGATGGGGTCTCACACTTGCTCAGTCTGGTCTCAAATTCCTGACGCAAAGCAATCCTCAGCCTCCCAAAGTGCTAGGATTACAGGCATGAGCCACTGTGCTCAGCTGATAAATTCTAGTTTGATTTCTATTGGACCATGAATTTCTTTTTTTTTTTTTTTGGACCATGAATTTCTTACGCAGTTTTTTTATTTGTCCTGTTTCTAACAACCCTGTGCCCCCATTCTTGAGGAAAAGAAGAGTTTGACCATTATTCTTATTCTTTGCTTAGTCCTTAACAGTATTTTCCATTCTTTTGAGAGCTCCTTTTTATCCTAGAAACCTCTCTTACTCTCCCATCAGGATTGGTGGTTCTCTAGGCCTGCTGTACAGCTATCATATTGGAATAGCTCTTAATGCTTTTCTGGTTGAAATCACTATTTTCAGTTTCCTATGTCTCTCTCTTTCTTAGATTACTCTCTTGTAACTTCCTAAGAAAGGCGATGTGAAAGAAAACTTTCTGAACCTTGCATATCTGTAAATGTCTTTATTTTATCTTCCCATTTGTATAGGTTGGCTTGGTATCAAATTCTAGAATAAAAATAATCTTGCCTCAGAACTTTGACGCCGTTGGTCCATTACCTTCTAGCATCTGGTGCTGCCAATGAGATGGGTGATGCTAGCCTGCTCACACTTTTTGGCAGGTGACCTGGTTTGTCTTTCTGGAAGCTTTACCGGTTTTCTCTGTCCTTGTATTTCTGAAATTCCACACTAGTAAGATAAATATGGGTCTTCTTTCCTTCAGAATGCTAGATGTTTGGTGAACCTTTATAATCTAAAGACCCGAATTCTTTTTTCTATGGGGAATTTTAACATTTGTCTGATAATTTCCTTCCATCAGTTTTTCAGGGCTTCTCTTTTTGCAACTTCTCTACTGGTTGAATATTGTATGTCTGGGATTGAATCCTTTACTTTTTTCTCCTATTTTC